CGATAAGATAATTCTTAATCTCTATCATGGGCTAGTTTAAGTAATAAATCCATTGGTTATATTTTAGGATTAGATATCTAAATAAATAATTAAATATAAGATTACATTAATTAAAGCTACAGCTAATGGGATAGCTCTTTTTACTTCCACATCTGAGAATTATAAAATATGTTAAAAGATTCTATAAACCATTTCACTGCCAATATCTTCACTACTAGCAATTAAAGCAATTCCTAGAATAGCTACTTATTAAAGTTCATAATTCTTATCTATTTTTGTACCTTTATCATCAGATGTTACTTCTGAACAATATCCTAATAATTCTTAAACTTTAAGGACATTTCCAGTAGATGCATATGCCAGTGAAGTAATAGTAACTTTAGCATATTTACCAATCTTATGATTAATAAGAGCAAGTGATTCAATGATAACACTAGCTGCTTCTGCTTATCCAAGATAGAGTAAACCTAATCCAACTGCATAATATCTTGAAATTGACATATCAAATTATGTATCTGGTCTATCCATTAGAATTTGGACAATAGCATTTGCTACTTCATCATTACATTTTCCTACAAATATGAGACCTAAAGATAATGCAGCCATTGCTGATAATTCAACACTAACTGATTCAATCAATACACTTATCAATTAATCTTATAATTCAACTCGTGCTGATCCTGCATATGCTAATCCCAAACCCATTACAGCACCAATCTTTACTTAAATTTCAGGATCCTCCAATTATTATAATAACATAGCTTATGCTGGTTAATTCTCATCTACTATTCCACTACAAAATAATCCTAATCCTATACAAGCTCCTGCTTTTGTATACATATCACTTAAATCAAAATATTAAGATATTTATTCTGTACCATTATCAATATTCCATAAATTTATTAATCCTATACTAGCTACTGCTGCTATTGTTGTATGATCATTTTTAACATTACTCAACCATGAATTCTCTTTATTACTCATTAATGCATCTTTCTTAAATCCTGCATTTACAAATCCATTACAATATGTAGCTGCTAAATTTTTCTAAATCTATTCAAAATTTGCTTCTCTATTCTTTTCTTCCAAATGAGCTTTATAAACTTAATCTGGTGTCTTTGGTTCCAATACTTCTAAATCTTTTGCCAAATTTATGTAAAATTAACTCAAATATTAATTTGCTGCTATCTTTTTTAAAGTCTCCTCATTAATTATTTCCTCATCTATTTAATATCTATGTCTAGCCAATTAAAATGCTAATTGCTTCTTTATTGTTGCATCTTCGCATTCTTATAATACTTACTCAACCTTTCCTGGTTTATCAATACGTAATGCAATTCTCAAAGCATTTGTATATTCTTTAACTTTTAAACAAACATTATAAGCTGTCTAAAGCAATACATCTAATTCATCCTAATCTGAACAAAATGGAACTATATTCAATAAATATACTAATATTCTCTATATATTTGCTTGATTTACATACTAATTATATTTAATTTATATTATTACTTATTCTAACTTTTATAACTAATCAACCTCACTTAATAAATCTATTGCATCATGTTCAGAATTATGATCCATAAAATATGGAACTATCTCATCTACCAAAAACAATAAATCATCTGCTCCCTCCTATTTTTATAATCTTATCTAAAATTCTGATCCAATATTTGCAGCCAAATGACTTAGATATTCATGTCCCCAAAATTTAAATTCCTCTAATGTACCTTCCTATAAATAAAGTAATGAATCTCTATCTCCTCCATAAGTCATAGCCAACACAGATAAAAAATCTGCCAATTGTTTCTATTTTTTTTACATATTGCATTCTTACTTTAAATCTTGATGTCTCTAATCCATTGTAAAACTCAACCAATCTTCCAAATGATTCTTTCAAGAATTTAAATGGCTTTGGCACAGAAGTCATTGAAGTTGTTGCTGTACGTACCTCTGTCTTCAATTTCTCCAAACTCTCATGATTATTTTAAATGATCTCCTCCACATATTATTCCAACCTGTTTTTCAACTCAAGATCTTATTCAGACTATATATAAGATTTATCTCCATCATTACCAACTATACAACCTATTTACCTGGCTTCTTTTAAGCCTATTTATCTACTGAAACCTTTTTCTCCTCCATCTTTTGAATTCTAAAAAAAAATTAATTTAATTAGCCAACACCAGTATGTTTGAGATTTTATATAATAAATGTATTATGTTCAATAATAGAATGTATTCTTCATCTTTGAACTTATCTCCTCTTCCTCCTTCAAGTGAGTCCTAAAATCCATAAATTATATAGATGTACTTAAATACTTGCAATTTCTTGTTTAACAAATTGTATATTTTTAATTTCTTCTTTATGAATGCTTCCAGATTACCAACATAAGTATCTACATCATAATCTACCATCCCTACACCCTGAATAGATTGAATCAATTCACTTTCTTATTACAGCAATTTTGCATCTTCCTATTAAATTTTCATTAAATTTCATACTTTTATAGCAGCCATGTGAATATTTAGAATCTCATCTTATTCTTCCAAAATTGTATTCACTTTCTCATGAAATTCAAAAAATTCATTTCCATTTCCGTTTGCATTGTTTTGCTCATTTTTCATCATCGTTTCTTTCATACATCTTACATCCTCCTTAACTTAACCATTTTTTTTATTAACTAATTCTTCAGCAGCTACTTCATCATCAGATTCTTCCTAAACTGAATTTATTCTCTTTGATTATTTTGGTGGTGGTACTGGCTGCGATTTTGGCTTTTCTTTATCAGGCCCTTATGATTGATTTTTTTTTAAATTTGCAGCATTTTAATTATTCTAATTTCTAGCATCGTTAATTTTTGGTAATTATAAAGGAGTATTTTATTTGTCTTATTATGGATATTATTTATTATTGTTATTATTATTATTATAATTATTATTATTATTGTTATTATTATTATTATTATTATTGTTGTTATTATTGTTATTATTATTATTAATGTTATTATGATTATTTTCTTAAGATTTATTCTCATATACATATTGTTGTTATTATCGATATAATAATTCTTCATTTGATACCTCACGTTCCTCCAATTATACTTTTGATTAATTTGATTTATCTTTTAATCTATCAGCATATCTAAGAGTATTTAACGAATGATCAGCTGAAGAGCTTCCTGGACTAATACATGCAATCATTATAATTCTAGATTTATTTGATTTAGCTGTGAAAGAATCTCTTAATACTAAAGTTAATTTAGAAGCTCTAAAAGGAACATGACCTTAACTTGAATCCATTGCTCTAATACACTCTTTTAATGCTAAAAGACTTTTGTTAATTTCAGCACCTTCCAATCTTCTTTATCTATTATTTGATTAAGTATCTTAAGCTCTTTCAGAACCAGCCAAATCTACTAAGATAAGTTTTCCCATATCTGAATAGCCTTATCTAATCATAATTTGACAAATTGAATGAGATCTTGAAGAAGTATCATTTGCAACAGTTGCATGAGTTGTTCTAACAGAATTAGCCAATTCCATTAATTAGAATAATTCATTTTCAGATTCACATGGTCTTTCAATCAATCCTTAAACTTATATGTTATTATTTTTATCTTCTAAAATTTATAATGGCGCTTTATTATTTAGCAAATCATAACATTTTCCTCCATAGATTTCAAAGAATGATACAACAATTTTGAATTATGGGGAAGCATTAATCAACTTATATAAATCAATTACTAATAATTCTTGAATGCTTTTCATTGTATATGTTTTACCAGAACCTGTTTATCCATAAGCAAAACAAGTAACTACACCTTAATTAACTAACATATCAATTAATGGTGCCAAACTTACATCATATATATCTTTTCCCTATTCAACTTCACTAAATGTATTATCAAATTAGAAATCGTGATTTTCAACATATTTTGTAATACCATCTACTTTTAATTTCGATTCATGTACTCGAATCATTGGATTTGCACAACTTATTGCATCTATTTCTCCAGCTACTTCTTCTTTTTTAAAAATAGGTCTTTTCCTTACACATACACATAATTTTATATTTTATGTTGTTTAATGCTCTTAAATTAATCCTCCCTTAAGTCTACTTTTATCAATCATCAATTCAAATTCTACATCAACATTTTTACCAAGTATTTAATTTTATTCTTCTCTCTCTGCTTTTTCTCTCTTCATCTCTTACATGTTTTTTCTACGTTCTTCCCTTTGTTATTCCATTTTCTTTATGTTATCTACTACCGATCCTTTTGGTGGTTAAGGTGGCTATTAAACTGGCATCTACTATTATTATGGTGCCTATTCACATCTACTAACTTCAATCCCTTTCATAAAATTAAATAATCTAATACCATTTGCCTTCTTTAATCTATCTAATTTCTCTTATTTTGTTCCATACACTCCCAATCCTTTAGCCTTTAGTTATGCAACTACCTCTTCATCACTTAATTTATTCAAAACCTATTCTTTTTTATTTAATTATCCTTCACGCTAAGCCTTTAAGCGATCTAAAATCTAATACACTCCTACCTCTTTCTTTTTATGCCTACACTGATAACTATTATTATTTTGGCTACTGCATCCCTTTGAAAATTTGAATTATTTATATATAAAATATAAAATCAGTTTATCAATATACAAATATATTTTTAGTAATTTATAATCATCTCACAGATATCTAATTTAAAATACTCTAATCTATTTTAAATCATATAATAAACTATAAATCATATCTTTTGAAACATTCTCAATAATAAAAAGCATTTTTTTTATTGTTTTACTTTTATAATTTTTAATAAAAATAACTATAATTAATCTATTCTCTCAATTTTTCATCCATATTTCAATTTTATTAATTCTTTTCTTTACATTATTCCAATTACTTCTATATTCATTGCTTGTTTTATTTGAATTAGATAGAAAGGACTTTTAATGTTTTTTCTAAAATTTTATTCGACATTCAACTTAATTTTCTAAATAATTTTTGAAACCCTTTAGCAAATTTAGCATCATAAATTTAAATTTTCATTTCTAAAGGAAAAAAAATCAGACTTTTCTAAAACCTAAAAAAAGATTAAAATCATTTTTATATTATTCGGATAAAAAATTTGACATATATTTTATTAAAATAGTTTACAAATTGTTAATTTCTAACTTCTTCCATATGGAAAGTAAGTAATATATTAAACCACTATTAATTCTAATAAATCTAAATGTTTTATTAATTTCGTTAAAAAATATCCTATTACAATAATTTCTTTGAACAAAATGGAGTAAATTTTTGGATTATAGAATTTCAGTCAAAACATACTTAAAAAAATTAGGATATTTTAGGTAGGAATAACAAGATTGTAATTGGAAGTACTGAATCCACTAATACTAAATTTAAATTGATTGATTGTTATTTGTTCTCTTTTGAAACAATCTGTCTTCAAAAAAAAAAATTTGATGTAGATATTCCATTTGAAGATTTAAAAACTATATAAACGATGGCAATATTTAAAATTAAATTGGCTTTTGGAACAAATAATTAAATAAATAAAATAAATAAATAAGTCAATTCAGAAATCATTTATTGAGATGATGAAGAAATTGAAGAAGCTCCGATTTAGAATTTCAATGAAACTGAGAAACAATCTGAACCTCCACAAAAAAATAACCTATAAAATTTGAGAAGATTCCTTACAAGATTTTCTAATCACAATTTTAAATAGAATTAGTTAAACTATTTGTATTTTGCTTTAAAAATAATAAATTCTAATTGATGAATTAGGTGATACTGTTTTTCAACTTTATGGTTTAAATTTTAATAAGAGAATCATTATTTCATTAATCAACTTTAGAACAGCATATATTTTTATAAAGCTTGTAAGTATTTGATAGTTATAAAAAATAATTGAAATTAATTTATAATATTAATATATTTTCTATGTTTGAAACTTTATAAGTTAATAGTGATGATTAAATACAAATCTCGGATTTAGTTGATTATTTAAGATAATTTGAAGTACAAGGAGAAATATAAAAGAACTATGTCCAATTTATTAATTAAATTAAATTATTGAAAGGAATATTAAAATTTGTATTCAATTTTCATTAATGATAGATTTATAATAAGAAAATTAAGAACATTGTTTTAATTAAACAAATACCTTTCCTAATTTTAATATAAAATTTCGATTAATAATGAGTAAATAGTGCTTTAAATAGTAAGTAAATTCCAACAAGAACTGCAGTTTAAATATCAAAGGAAATAGTTCATAGATTGCTGTTCGATTCAGATAATAATGGAAATCTCTTTAGGATGATTTATGAATGATATTTTTTGTAATTTATTTTTAAAATAATAATTTATTATTTATTGTAACACAATTTTATGTTCATAAATTAAAATAATGTAATAGCGGGAAGAATAATTTACGCTATATAAATTACTTAATGTAGAACCTAAAGCAACTTAGAATGAAATAGTAATAAAGTTAATTCTATTTATAGAAAAAATCATATAGATAATTAGCTTTGTAATTACATCCAGATAAGAATTAATCAGATGTGAATGCAAAAGAAAAGTTTTAAAAAATATCAGAAGCTTATTAAATTCTTTCAAATGAAGAAAAGAGAAAAATGTATGATGAAACTGGAATGATAGAGGGAATAGATGAATTTAAAAATGCATATGAATTTTATAGAAATTTATATCCTAAAATAAGTAAGGAGGATATTGATAAATATGAAGTGAAATATAGATTTAGTAATGAAGAGGAAAAGGATTTGATTGAATTTTATAATAAGTAAATAGATTTAGTAAATATTTTGATAGAAATAATGGTAATGTTAAGTGTTTGCTTGAGAATATAATATTGAGCAAAAATGAAGACATTCCTCGTTTTTTAGAATTTTATGATGAAATGATAAAATAGAAGAAGATTATAGATTATAAGATATATTGGAGTAGTAGAAAAAAGATAAAAACATTAAGAGAAGACCCAGAAGCATAATAAATAGATATGGATTAATTGACAAAATAGATAAGATAAAGACCAAAAAATAATACATTTGATTAATTTATTTAATAGATGGAAGAGAAATATTAGAAGCCAAAGAAGGTAAAGAATTAGAAAAAATGATTAATATATTTAATTAATGAAATTTGTTTTAATATTGGCGCTAGGAATTTTAAATACAATTAGTGGCTCAAAAATCAGCAACAAAAACATATTATTACCTTTGGCTGACATAGAAGTAGAATATGAAATCACTGCAGAGGGAGGTTGTTTTGATTGGAGTGCTTCAAATAGTGCTATAGTAGTAACAGGACAAGATTAATAAGGATGTTCGAAGTCAATAGGGAAGGTTAGAGTTATAACAAAGATGCCAAGTTAAACATTTATATATGTGAAATCTAAGTCTTCAGATACATCTTAATTTATAGTAGAAGTAGTGGTAGGTGAAATACACAAATTGAGCATCATAACAAAATAAAAATAATTGGATTTAGATACTTAAGAAGAATTGCATGTTTAAGCATATGATGATAAGGGAAACACATTTACAACATTAGAAGGACTTAAATTTGATTGGAGAGTGGGCTAATTGGAAATGGTGAAGTTTTCAGAATCAGGTTTAAAAGTATCAGAGAAAAGAGCAAGATTAGAATTTAATAGTGATATCATTGTGGTGAAGGGAAAGAAGGAAGGAAAAGAAACAGTTTTCACAAGTGTGATAGAAAAAAAATATTATGAAAGCTAAATTTAAACTAGTGTAGATTTAGTGGTGATTTAAAAATTTTAATTTTCTCCTGATTATCCAGTATATTACTTACCTACATATTCTGTTATTTAATTCAATCTTCTAAGAGCAGATGGAAAAACAAGAATATAGTTACCAAGTGATGTTCATTAATGGAGTACATCTTCTAAGGTATCAACTATTGATTAAAGTGGTGTTTTAAAAACATAGACTATAGAGAATAATTTAAATCTTATGGTATTAAATTCAAAATATAATTACATCTAAGCAATATATCATGTTGTAAATCCTAAATATATTGATATTGATATTTGGGAAGATGGAAAATAAAAAAGGGAAGGAAAAGTTACACATTTAATTGTAGGAAGATTATATAGATTCTAAGCTTTTTTAAAAGATGAATTAAATTAAAGAATATATTCTACTAATGATGAATTCTCTTATGATTGTTAAGATATAATATTGAATGAATAAACTGTTATATCTTCAATTGAAAAATAAAATGTGAAATTAACATTCAAAAGGGGTAAATTAGAATCTCATGCTATTATTCATTTTGTTCAACCTATTCAACTATATACAGTTTTTAAAACTTACATTCATCTCCCAATTAATGAATAATATAATTTAATTGTAAATGGAGGATCTGGACATTACAAATATTCATCAAGATATTCAACACCTTCTATTTTTGAAATCTAAAATCCCTAAACCATGGTAGCTTAAGATTAAGGAGAGAATATCTTAATAATTTATGATGAATTTAATGTTTACAATAGTCTAGAAGTAACAGTCTATGTGACAGATGTAAGTTAAATTCTACCATTTGAAAGAAGAAAAGAATTAATAGTAAAAGAAGCTGATGACACTTTTTATTAAGCTATTGGAGATCCTAAAATAGGAAATTATACTTAATGTAGATCAGTTAAATTTACTCTTGACCATTTTGATATATTCACAACCCAACAGATAAGAGGAGATCTATCTAATTATTTGGTTTGTAATGGTTTGAAATTATTATCATCAACACCAGGATAATACAATCTTTAAATCAATACTCAAAAAATATCAGTTATACAATAAGTGAGAGTATATGATTATTTACATTTTGAATAATCAGAATATTATGTAACTCCTCATTCTACTATTACAACTAAAGTTTTGGGAGGACCTACTACTTGGGATCAAACTCCATATAATGAGAAATTATCTGAAGGAATTCTTAAAATTGATATGGAAAAATATCATTTCAACTGTTTCTAGTAAAAGGCTTAATTCATCATTACTAGAGTCAATAAACAATCAGAATTGTTGCCTAATCCTAAACTTGTTAGTAACACTCTACCTGTAATATGTTTATTACCTAATGCATTCAAAATATTTAATGAAAAGAATCAAGAAGTAAATTGGTTATTCAAAGAAGAAACTGTTTAAATTAATGTAGTTGCTGTTTATGACAAAAATTTATATTACAACTCTAGTAGTTTATAATTAGATTATTCAACACGTGGATTGAAGTATTAAAATAGATATTTATCATATGATATTCAATCAGGAATCTCTGATTGTAAATTTATTGTTGCTTCCAAAACTTATAATAATTATAAAGATACTTTTTTCCCAACAATTAAAAGTGAATTAGATTTAATTATACATCATACTTTAAAATTGATTCCAAGTGGTGAACAATATGTTCTTATTGATTAAAGTGTTTTATTCAGAATAGAATCTTCAACTAACAATATTCAATGTTAGTATGATAATTATATTATTGGATGTCAAAAGGATTAAGTTATTATTACTCCTAAAACATTAGGTCAATTCTAATTAGTAGTTTATGATTTATCACTTAATTACAGTGTTTCAGCAACACTTAATGTTATTAATCCATCTCTATTGAATCTAGAATTAAGTTAATAAATAACTGTTGTTGGAAATTCTATTAATGCAACTTCATAATTTACTTTAAACAAGAAACTCGTACATATAACCAATTGGACTCCTTTACGTTTGAATGATACTTTTGGATTTAGCAATATCAATCAAGCCAATAATTAGTTTATAATAACTCCAAATAGAGAAGGTCTATTTAAATTATCTACATAATATGATTCTACCTAGTCTAATCATGTTGAATTAAAGGTTATTTCTAAATTACAAGCTGAAACTGTTTACATGCCCATTGAATGTGAAACACATGTATTATTCCCATCTGAAAGTTAATTTAGTTATTCAGCCACTTCAAGTGAAAATTTAGAAGTTTCAGTTAGTTAAAACATTGTTACTATTAAATCTAAAGACAAATAGGGAAATTATTTTGTTTCTGTGTTTTTAAAATAATTTAACATTCTGATTGACTCTATTTAGATACCAGTTATAGTTGATAAACCAAATAGAGTTATTTTACATTACGGTAGAAAAGTTGAATTAGGTTCTTCAGTTAGAATTGTTGCTGATTTCCTTATTCAAAATCATCAAATGAATCTTTGTTTATGTCCAAAAAATAAGATCAATTGGTACTTGGATTAAAAGTTAGTTTAGACCTCTCCTAATTCTTTAGGACTTTCAGTTTCAACAGTTGTAGTTGGAAAAATTAATATAAAAATAACGGCTTTTGATTTAGAAGCTTAGACTTAACTTGAAGTTGAAAGATTAAATTCTTATACTAGAAATTTATTTATTAATACTAAAGCTTTGTATCATGTACCTCTACTAATTCCTACAAATAGCAAATTAGCTTTAGGATAAGAAATAAAAAGTATTGAAAAAATGAACATGTATGCTCCAAATATTATTGAAAGTGATAGTATTACTTTGTAGCCTTAATTATTATTAGCTACTACTTCAATGTTAATTTAAGTAGAAGAAATCTATCAAATGTATCCTATGTCCGAATTTGTAAATTTGAAAGTTGATGAAAAAATAGAAATCGAAATTGCATACTTGAATTAAGAAGGATATCAATTTGAAGACATTGAAAATAATAAACTTGAAGTCTTAGGTTATACAAGACAAATTGTCTAAATTAAACTGAATAAAAATGGAATCGAAATTGAAGGTCTCAACTAAGGATTTGCATTGATCAAATTAAGTTGTGGAAATAATAAAATTGATTATATACTTGTAAAAGTAGGTGCAACTTTATTGTAAATGAAGGCTTATCTTGGATCCACAATTACTTACCAAATTGATAATCCTGATAAACCTATTTGGTTTTCAAATTGTGGAAATTTTTAAGAAAATAAATTAACAATTTTAAAAGAATTGAATGAATGTTATGTTGAGGTTAATGATTAAGGAAATAAATTCAAAGCTGCACTTGAAGTTATCAGACCTTCTCATATTATTATTGAAACAAATAAAGGAGATAATTAGTTACTTATCAAACTAAATGTCAATCCTAAAATACCTCCATCAGATTAGATCAACCCTAATTTTGAAATACAAATAGATGTAGATTAACCATAATGGTTTTAATTAGAGAAAACTAATAACCTATATGAATACAATATCAAACCTCTAATTGCTGAAGATAATACTCCTATGCCAAAGAAGGTGAAGATTAATGCGCTCCTTTCTAATAAATAAATCACATTGGATGGAAGCAAAGAAGTTATTTATGAAAGAGAATTCTATCTTCCAAATCAGGAAATATTTATTTAAAATAGTCAACCTATTCAAACTCTAAGAATTCCATACTATAGAAATATTGAAAAAACTCATCAAGACAGTCATCTATAAGGATTGATAACAACATAATTTTCTTAGGGTAGAGTAGAGATTGTTTTTGATTTCAGTTAATGTCATGAACCTACAGAAGGAGATGTAATTTTTGAAAATGAATAGAAGATAAGAGTTAAATTTGTATAAGAGTCTAATTATGAATTAATAATATTTTTAGCTGCATTAGGTATATTATAATATTAAACTTTTAGTATTCTTTGTCTTAGTAGTAATGAATTATTTCAGATGAAACAACATGTGACATTTTATATCAATATATATATATTCTATATTTTAATCAGAAAAAATAGAAATAGTTCAAGAAACTTTTTTTTTTAGTAATAAATATTAATTTATAACTTATTTATCATATTTTCCAATTATTTTCTTTTCCCCATTTTTTAATTATTTTAAGAATATATTCTACTTAAGGATTGTCACCTGTATTTGTCAAGATATTCATAACTTCAATTAAATGATCTAGAGTCTCCTTTGATGCAATGACCATTTGAAATACTCCTACAACTGAACCTCTTAAAGCATCTTCATATTCATGTTCCCCATTATCTGAATCTAATCTTTAGAGAATATCGAAAGCCTTAGCAGCATAATAAAAGTGTCCCATCTTATAACAATCATTAGCAATTAAGACTAAAATTTAAAAAGATTCACTTGAAGTCTCCATATTAATATATAATTCCCAAGCTTCTCTAAGTTGATAAAGATTATAAATTACTTTGCCTTGCCATTCATTATATATGTTCTGGTCATCCATTTGATATAGATATCATCAGACTAAAATAAATAAATAGAATTTAATATTATACTCTATATTTTTCCGATTGAATCTATGCTAAAGCATCTTCAGCTTCTTTATAATCTCCAGTACCTGCACAAGCAATTCCATAATTCCAGTTGAAATCATCATCATTTTAAAAGAATTGCTTAATAGATTTTAAGTAAACTAAAACATCTTCATATTATTTTAAAATAAAGAAACACGAAGCCATACATTACCTACCAGGAATAGTATCACATTCACTAGCTGAAGATCCCACTAGTTAAAATAATTATTAAGCAGTTTTTAAGGCTTCTTTCTAATCAGGATTAGATTATCCTTTCATAGCATAAACAACAGCCTTTAAGATATACTCTTTTGGGTTTGTAGGTTGAAGATCTTAAACTAGATTGTATGCTTCTCCAATATCTTCATTTTTTAAATAATAGACAATGAGATTGAGTTTTGCTTCTGGGAATATTTCTACTAAAGGAGGGAGTACTTTTAAAGCATTTTCTCCAGCTCTAAACACTACTAGATTATGTTTCAATAAATCATTATCTGCACAAACATTGATTCCTTCATATTAGGATTGCAAAGGTTTGAATACTTCTTCTGCTAATTTACCACTATATAACTAGAATTGATTGCAAGCTTTTAGATTGATTGCTGTAACACTTTATGGAAATTGATTTAGATATGAAGAGAGAATTTCAATAGAAACATCGAAATATTCTAATTTATAATAGCACAAAGCTATATAAACATTGATTGCTGTATATTCTCTATTTTCAAGTAATAATTTTTTGTATGCATCAGTTGCCTATCATATAAAAAATTTCAGTTACTTCTTCATAATGTCCTCTTAAATAATGAATTGCTGCCAAACACAATTAATCATGAACAGTTTCTTGTATCTTATGATGATAAGTCATAAGATTCTTCTCATCATTTTTCTTATGAGCAATATGAAATTATCTATCATTTAGAATCAATTCAATTACAATCTCACTGATAAAGCTGTCTCTGGACCTTTTGAACATTCTCTCTTTGCATCTTCATATTGACATAGAGCATAAAAACAACATGCCTTATATATATGAATCTCTTTGTTGTAATCTGGTTTAGTCATCATCTAATCATAAACTTAGATTGCCCTTCTATTTTAAAATATACAATCTCTAATACTTGTATTCTCCATTATGAAAACATGCATAAGCTAACCATAATTTGGGCTCAGATCTTGAATCATTAAAACTAATCTTTAAATTGTCAAACAATACTTTTATTCATTTTCTAAGAGGGATATTGCTCCTACCCAATCTCTGTTCTTAACATATTCTTCTAAAGTAGGCATTCTCTCTTAAACAACTTTTGCAGCAACTCCTCCAGAAACTGGGGCTGCTGCTTTTGTTTATTTTGCTTTACTCATTGAGGAACCTGGACGTAGCATTTTGTGATTTATGAAAAAATTAAATTTCAAATTATTATTCCTTATATCAAAAGTTCTAATATATTGTAATTTATTATTCATTTCAATTGTCAAATGCTCTAAATAATAATTACATTAGTATACATTATTTTATTATTAGCCTGAAAGAGCCTTAAATGATCAATAAGAATTTAAACGATGTATTTCTCTTGATTTTATATAACTTAGAAATCTCTTATCAAGACAATAAAGATATAATCTATTTTGAAGTTGAAGTAAAACTAAGAATACTTTTTGGATTGAAAAAGTAATTGTTTTCACAGTCTCTATTCCTCAAGAATCTCTTATCTTTACTCCTAAGGTTTTATGTTAGAAGTTATTTATATATTTAATCATATAATAGAAAACGTTCTATTCTAATATTTGTTTTTTGAAAAGGTTTTCTTGGATATCATAGGAGAAATTTGCACATTTTTGGATTGATAGATTTATTCTTATGATTTATAAATTCAATTGACCATCTCAATAAATAAACAGCTGAGTTGATTTTTCAGAGTTAAAACATAGTTCTCTCAGTTTGTTAAATTAACTATGAAAGAATGATCATATAATCATGGATTATTTAATAAAATAGTTTGATATTAAATAATAAATAAGCACATCTTATATACAATTATTCAGTAATGTAATTATTCATTCTCCTCTTTAAACAAATATTCTACATTCCACTTGTTTTACAAAAAAAATACAGCATTAGAAAAAGCTTTATTATTTTTAAAAGCATTGTTTATTTTTAATAATGGATCATGAAGTGGATCAAAAGGATCACACATAGAATATTTAATATTTTAATTTTTCAATTCTTTTTAATTTATCGAAATTTTATATGGTTAATTAAACCCATATCCATCCTATGAATAATAAGTAAAAAATTCTTCAAATAAAGTTTTCAAAGAAATTTAAGAAATTCTTTTTTGAAATTCGTATTTAACTTTTTCATAAACTTCATCCTCGTGCAACTTTAAATTTATTTAAATAATTACAAAGAAAGTTCTTATTGTAATCACATTTTCATCTTAGTAAAGTTATCTTTTTATTATTAAATCTGATTCTATTTTATTTATATTGTATTTCTAATCTTATAAATTGGGCAGCTAATATTTAGCTTGTAAAAAATGGAGCCAAAGAATTATGATTGAATATGATGAAAAAAGAAAATTATTTATTATTTTTGCTCCCTTACCCCACATCTTTAATAAAATTCCACCCTTATTATTCAAATAAATTTACTTTTTTAACCTTCTCATCCAGTTAAGAATACGCTTTCAATAATCGTGTATTGATTGCACCGAGTAGATTATTATAACACAAATCAATAAAGATTAGATTTTATGAATCTAGTATTTTTATTACGGGAGTTCGAGCATGAAGTAAATTTTACTATATTTAAAATCTAGTTTGGTATTTCAATTGAGAAATCCAATATTCTAAAACCTTAATTTCAGATATATAAGAATTTGTAGTTATTGTAAAATCGATATCAGATTTTTTTGTTGAAAATCCATTAAGAATTGATCCAAACAATAAAACTTTTGTATTTCTATCTACAAGTTCGTTCTGATTGAGAAACTCTTGAAACGAAATAATAGTATCATTAATCAATTCTTGTGAAAATTAATCTCCTAAACTATTTTGATAAATTTATTCAAAACATGCTTCTATTTCAAATGGCTCTTAAAACTAAAACATTAAAAATATTTAGCTATAAATTAATATAAATTTTAATTATTGAATTCTAATTCTAATTTCTTTCATTTTATATAATTTTAAACTTTTGGTTCACTCATTTTTTTCCAATAAACTTAGATTACATTTAGAGGGCTAATTCTCTTTAAAATTATCAGTTTTATTTTAATGTATTTAAAAAAGATAATTATATGCATCTCTAAATCCAATTCTTTTTAGAAAATTAAAAAGATTGAATCTCATTAATTATTTTAAATGGGTTGTTCTCTATCTTCAAAGAAAAATCAAATAAAGCTCTAATCTCTTTAATTGCAATCGAACTCAACAGCAATCTAATAAGAATAAGAATCTGAAGAATTAGCTATTTTAAACTAACTATACAAAGAAAAGTTTTAGATTTAAAAGAATCCAATAGTGCAAAGAAGAGCTCATTCTGCAACTCCAAGCATTTCAGGATTTGATAGACAAGCCGAATTATAGAATTCGTTGGCCTAGAGATAACTATCTTGATGTACAATTATCTCATTATAAATTACAATCACAAAAAATAAAATATTCATAAGAGTTAATAAATTACTGACTATATGAATTCTTAATATACAACAATAATGTATTCTTCATCCATATCAATCTTTGTAAAATTCTTAAAAAATAATTCTGTAAAAACGTAGATAGTAAATTTTATTATTCCAGCTATTATAAAAACCATAAATGTGCTTCATAATTTTGATACTTTAAGTGCTTTCGATAAAAAATTAAGTATTCTAAGAATTATCTTATTGTTAATATTAGTATCGTTTAATTAGAATTTGAAATAAATAAGTCTCAGAATAATCATTTTTCTAGAAATGCTTTTATGTATTTCAGAAATTATGAGATAAGACTTGAATCAAGAATGATTTATAAAGAAAAAATATTTTTTCATAAGTTAAGATCCCTGATCTATAAATAAGACAAAAAATATGAATGAGTGAGAATAAATCATGAGGAAATTAAAGTTGGAGTACAAGCTGTGGTTTAGGACATTTTATTTCTTTTTTCTGTTCTTCTTTTGATAATGGGATTCTTCATAATATTAAATTTATGATTGTCCTGTTAAAAATTAGATTGAGTCATTGCTTCATAGGATTTTGATTATATAAGGTTTAGCGAGATTGGCTATTTAGTCTTAACTTATGAACAACCCATTTATTTTATTATTAATTTGATATGGGGATTTAGAATTTTTAAATATTAAGACTATAATGTCAGTAAAAATAATCTAATTATGTTAATTAATATTAAATACAATAAAAATGCTAGATTTAAGAATTAAATGAGCAATCTAGTTTAATAAATGTTTGATTTTAAAGTAAGTTAAAATTTATTTTGATAAAGAGATGATAAATAGTTTAAATATTATAAAATGAAATATAGAATTGATCATTAAATAGAACATTATTATTAGTCTAATACAGGATCTCGATTAGAATTTTTGGTTTATCGATGATCATTATCTCCAACAACCATGGTTTCATCTTGGAATTTGATTCCGTCTTAATCTATTACTTTTGGTTATTCTAAAGTTGATTATGGTTTTGTGTTAGGAATAGGATAATTAGGTGCAGTGTAGAGATTAGTACTACTAGGGATTGGACTAAATGGTTATTATGCATAATATGGAGAATATCCTGAATTTTATGGAATAGTTGATAAAGGGATGGTTTAGAGATTTGATGGTAAGGAATTTAATTAATTATTATTGAGTGTTTAAGGTGGTGGTACATAACTTTAGTATTTTGGTTAATTATAATTAATGGTTGTAATAGGAGTATCTACTGAACTACGATCAGGAATAAAAGGTTTATCATAAATAATTTAAGAGTTTGGAAAAGAATGTTCTGATGGTCTATTAGGAATAGGACCAAAATCATATTTCTTTTCAATCTAATGATGAATAGGGTATTAATCTAGTTAATTAATTGGAGGAGGATATTAATCTATTTTTTATTATTATTTATAAGATTATGGATCAAATTTATGGTTTGATTAATGAAATGACTATATTGGATCTAGAGGTAAATCAATTTTAGTATATTTATTAATAGGATCTGTAGGATGTTCATGATGAAAATTATTTTGACTAGGATTTTCTGAAATTTGTGAAAAATGATCTTTGTTGGTTAAAATTGGATCTTCAAAATGATTATTGTTATAAGTTGAATAGATGTCATGATTTAATGGAAGATCATTTTTTTTTACAGTTTATTAAATTTAAAGAGTAGGTGTTAAGGGTGTATATTATTAAAGTGGTGAAGATATATGCATATTGACATCATTTATTATTTTATCTGGTTCTACAGGTGGTAATTATGATGTTACACCATATTTATTCCAATTATATTAATCTATGATGTCATCGTATTTTGTTCGACTAATATATAAATCAATAATAATTTACACTTAATAATTTGTATTAGAGTAAGCTTCTTAATATTATGGGGTTTAAGTCTTTACAAAGTTTTAATTCTAATTATTTGGAATATTATTGTAATAGTTATTTAAATTGTTATGAATAATAGAATTGGGATCTATTTAAGTAGCAGGTTATATTTAGAATTCATTTTTATGATAATCTGGTACATAAGGTTGAGGTTAAGCAGAAGCATAAACTATCATAGGATACAATGGTCCAATCAATTCTTCTCCACTTTACGGTTTGGATGGATGACCATAAAGAGTAGGTTATGGTTAATTCAAAACTAATTAAATTGGTTACTAAAGTATTTAATTTTATTAAGTTGGTTGATTACGTTATACTTAATTTGGAGATTACGCATTTGGAATAGAAGATTATGATACTTATTGTTAAAATAATTAAAAAGGAATCTGTTAATTCTATATACTTTGATTTATTAATTATACATTTTCAAATAAATGAACATATTCTGAAGATAAAAATTATATTTTCTCTTTTTCATACTTTGCTTTATCTGTTATTGTTATTTTATCATCAAAATTCAATTTCTTTATTTCATTAGATTTTAAAACATTCATTCCTATCTGCTACAATATTAAATTCACTTCTAAAAAATATATATGTTCAAGAGACATTGGAAAATTGGTGACAAAATGTTTTATCGCAGATTCAATTTTCTCATGTTTAATATTTTAATTGGTTTAACTTAAATCAACAATTACTATCCAACTTTCAACTTTTCCAGGTACAAACATATAATCTTCCATAATAATCATTTTATTTGTTATTGCCTTAATAAAAAAGTCATCTAAAGGGAGACTTAAAGATATATGTAACACAGGTCTAAGCATTTCGTCTCTTCCAATTATTGAAACTAATTTTGAATATTATGGAATATCATCTAAATTTATAGTTTCAGGATTATTTAACCAATTTAAATGATCAACAAAATAGTTAACTGTGTCTTCTTTGACAAATTTATGAGCATACAAGAATCGTAATAATACGGAATCATTTTGAATTCTCAAATATAAGAAGATTAAGCATACTCTTTTAAATATTCAACTGGTATGGAATCGAGATATGCCTTGAATTCTGTTAATTATTGATTCTCATAAGTGTCATATTAAACATTCTTGAAGATTCTTCTAAGATTACCTCGTTTAATATAATTAGCTAAATGTATAATTAATGATTACAATCAATAGACAAACTAGCACATTAATTAGGTGTAGCAATTAGATTTTGAAATCTATCTTAAAACATATTAATAATATATTAAATTTAATAATATTTCAACTAGCTTGTTTAATTTTAACTGAATTTGCTTCTCCATAAATGATATAATTGTTATAAACACAAATGCCTTCAGGAACAAAGTCAACTTCTTCAGTCTTGCTAATATAGTCAATTTGTCTATATTCTGATAAACGAATGATATAATTGTCTCTATTTTTGCATGATAAAAATAGATAATTTGGATTAGAAAATACCATTATGCTCTTAATATAACTTGGAGCAATTCTAACTCTCTAGATTTCACTGAAATTTGATGTACTAATAATTCTAATATCACCAGAACCAGTGCCAGCAGCAAAAGCCTTATCGGTAATGTTTTATAGCTATGCATAAATAAAAGTCATACACAATATATCCAATCTTCACATTGAATAGCATAGATTACTCTATCTGATTTAATGTCGTAAATTTAAATGGTTTCATCAAATGAACCAGAAACCAGATGATTATTATTAATTATAATAATATCCCTAACTGCCATCTTATGATTATTAATAGTCTTTGCTTTAATATTCTCTAATAATCCATTAATTGATATATCCCATATCTTTATACTATGATCACCTGAACAACTAACTAAATATTCTGGTTTAATTAATTATTTCACCATCAAAATTGGATCTGTATGTCCTTATAATTAACCTTAAAATTATATTGACTTCTCAATAGTAACTATTCCTATTTTCTATTCTTCAAAATTACCTATACTATAAATAATAAATAAATAAAAAATGTTTACCATGCAGCTATAGCTAATTTTCCTTAATAAATAAATCCACATATACTTGTACATTTTCCTTCAAATTAATATTCTCCAACCTTATTTTCACCTACTCCTTAATAAATTACTACCAATCCATCCACTGTTGAAACTATTAGATGATTTTAAAAAAAGATAATGTCACTTACATAATTGTCTTAATCATCTCCAAAATCTTTTAACACTCTTATTATAGGACAACCATCCAATCTATTTTCAAAAGATTAATCAGTTTAAAAATTCAAATTTGTTGATGGTTATCTCTATAATGACATATTCATTCCTTAAGGAATAATAGTTGCACCACCATGATTAGCTACAATATTAGTTGTGTAAATATGTGAACTTTCCAAATTCTAACTTGGCTTCTTTTCAAAAGTTGTAACTATAAATTTAAATTATTTATACTATCCTCTACTTGAGAAACATTCTATAAAAATCTTTATGAAATCTCTTCTAATTATGTAACCAATTTATTCAAGTATTAAATTGCATTATTAGATGCATCAAAAGTCATCAATTAATTTTTGATTTCAGGATGTTGAATCAAATAAGCAATTATTGCTACTCCTCTCTAATCTAAACTCACCATGCTTCGGTTAGCAAATACCACTCATAAAATATCAATATGTACTAGTTTTAATTTATTAACATAAGCTGGCAACTCTTATTTAATTTATATGTCTATTCCATCCAATTACGATTCACACATCATTCTTTTTGAATTCTATCCCAAAACTTCTATTTCCTTTATTGCTTATCTCATAAAATCCTCAAAAATCATCTTTACTTTTTATTTTGCTTCCTGTATCTCTTATTTCTATTTTTCTATCTAATTTAATATTTACTTTCTTTTAATATTTCATTGCTGCATCGATTATTGCTGCTTGATCCTAACTAAAAGATTTCAATTTTATTCTTTATCCAGCATTACATTTATGAGTGATCAAACATTATCCACATAATCTATTATCTTTATTTGGGCATCTGTCACAACAAATTACTTAGATTTTTTAATTGTGATCACTACAATTCAATGAAATTAATGAACCGCTTGTTCTATTTGTATCTACAGTAGTTAAATATGCTGAGAATTCATATGAATATGTTTTTGGATCTAAATTTAAAATAGAACCATTAAATTATTTTGCTGTTTTATATGGTAAAGACAGAAGCTCCTTAAAGAATACATCTGATAACTTTCTCAATTTCTATTCTACTTAACTCTAATATTATGAAATTTTCTTTGATGCTGAATCTAAATTTATGACTATCTATTTTATTAATTATGGATTGCTGTAAGTATTTAGTAATATTTGGCATCCTTATTTTTATATGTAACCTAAATCATTTTTTTCAAATGCTTCTACAATTTAACTTGCGGCTTCTCCAAATACTTCTGCATCAGGTATTCCTTGAAGTAGATACTAATTCAAATAGATATCATAATAGCCTTAGTATGATTTAAAGCTCTCAAAGAAATTATTTTTAAAATTTGCTAATGTTTAAGTTAATCCACCTGATGAATTTGGTGAATTTTAATCTCTGTCAAACTTTTCCACTATTTCTTAAATTCCATGGTTATCAAACTTAATTGCTTAATATAAAATATTACTCTATACCTTCATCTATAGTGATACGATCATTACACATATGATCAACCAAACATTCTTCACATAATCTTCTATCACCTTCATCTCTTGTGCATGCTTATCCTAAGCATATAGCAATGTGAGGTTTATTATGATTACATGATACATCTATTGTATTAGCCGACTTACAATTTCCCATTTTAATTAATTATAATTAATTATACAAATGACAAAATATTTAAGGCACTAAAATATTTTTCTTTTTTACTTTTTTGTTCTTTATAAATACATAAATACACCTTAAATTTTAAGAAATTAACAATTACATTCTTTAACTTTTTAAATTAAGAAGTGATATTTGATTATTTTATATATTAGTATTAATTGATTTAAATCCTATGATATTGTGAAGGTTTATATAAGAAACATTTAATAATAAAATTGATTACCTCCTAATTATTGTGATTATTTAATCTCATCTATAAACTATTTAAATTAACATTGGCTCTCTTTCTATTAATAAAATTATGCTCTAAATTTAAATAGGGGATATTATCGACAATCAATATGAAATAATTAAAAAACTATCTTAGGGTTCATTCGGAATAGTTTTTTATGGGAAATGCATAAAAACAAAAAAAGGTGTAGCAATTAAGGTAGAGAAAAAGGAAATGTCAAGTTTTGGCAGTTTAATACGTGAAGTAAAACATTTTATGAGTTAAGGTTGAAATGTTAAGTAAATTAAAGGGAGTTCCTCAAATTCCTGAATTGTTGTGGTAGGGGGAATTCAAGAAATGTAACCTAATGATAACAAAATTGTTAGGCCATGATCTTATTTATCATTAGAAATATTATACGCAATTTTCTCCATAGTGTATTAATAGTATAGCATATTAGTTATTATGGATTTTGGAATAAATACATAAAAAGTATAACAAACTTATTTATACTAGGAATATAATTCATAGAGATATTAAACCTGAAAATATTTTAAGCAAAAATGAATCAGATAAGATTTATTTAATTGATTTTGGAATTTCAAAAGACACAGATTCAAATTTAACAAATAAAAAGAAATTATTACCATTTATTGGTACAAGCAGATATGCTAGTATTTCAGCTCATCAAGGTGTAAGTTAAACAGCAAAAGATGATTTAGAATCACTTGGATATGTTCTAATCTATTTAACAACTCAACATTTACCTTGGATGAACATTGAAAAAACAGATCTTCAAAGATTAGATAAAATTGGCAAGTTAAAAGAAAATGTCTTATTAGAAGATTTATGTTTTGGATGTCCTAATTCAATGCTAAAGTACTATCATAACTAATTATAGGTATATGAAGTATGTTAAGGAATTGAAGCCTAATTAGAAACCTAAGTATGCAATGTTGAGAGGATTATTTCTGACAAAACTATAAAATGTAATTGAATTAGGTCTAGATTGGACTAATTAGGTTGTTAAAATGGAAAAAAAGAAACAACATAAAAAGTAAAGAAATTCATGTGATCTTAATTTTTAAAGTTGTGTGACTATTAGAAAGTAACAGATGATTATCAAATTAGACCTTTTCAATTAGAAAACTAAATTAATTTAAATGTGAAAACTATAGCAGTTTAAGATGAATAAATGATATCATCTGATAATGGAACAAGTTAAATGTAATTTAGTATAGTTGAGACACTTGGAAGTAAAAATAGTGTTAGAGTTGGATTTTCAGCAACAGATAATTTAGATTGTTTAGCTATCTAATAAAATAATCATTTGGCACGAGGATCTACATTTGAAGGTATTGTTGAAGCTAATCCACTTCAGCCTTTGAATTTTGAAGAATAATTAATGGAAAGAGAAAACTAAGATTTAGAAATTAAATACAATTTACTTCATTTTAGCTCAGTATATTTTAATTTTAAGAATCCTATTCAACAAAAAATTATTAAGTAAAATTATTAAGTCAAGGTGATCAAATCTATTAATTGAATTATACCTTTTATATTTTCTTTTGTTTATTTAAAAATTCTGGATAATTTTTTTTATATGATAAACATTTTTCACTGAATACTTATTAATTAATTAATAATAAAAAAATAGATATGGGATGTGTAAATAGCAATTCTCATTTAAAAAAGAAGAAAGATTTAGATATCTCTAACGTTCCTATCATGTTAAATAATCAAAAATCATCTAATATTGAAAAAATTTAGGATAATTGGTTAGAAATGAAAAATAACTCAATACTTGTTAGACGACATTAATAAAGCAAACATTCTATTAAGGTCAATACTAATTCAAAATCTCCTTTGTCTTGCGTAAGTCGCAGCTGAAAATCTAACTTAAATTGATTACATTATGTTTGTGTGTTTTATAAACAACTAACAATTTGAAATTATCAAATCGTTTTATGTATAGTTAATGTTGAATAGATGAAAGAATGCAGAATTGAAATGGTTATTGAAATTTTGAGTCAGCTTTTTATAAAACCTATAAGGATTAAAATATACATATTCATAAGAATATTAGTTGATTTGGATATTTTTGAATAAAAATTAATTGATGAATAAGAATGCAAAATTTATTTGGTATGTATATAATGGAAACTAAAGAGCTAAAAACAAACATTAAGTTTTCTTTAAAGAACACTAAAATTTAAAATAAGCAGCAGTAGCAATAATATTTTGGACACCAAATTCAATAAGCGCTAAATTGCCCACATTAGGATAGGCTCATATGAAAAGTATTTGTAGCTAAAATCAATTATTGGAATTATTGAAACAAGAGAACTTTGAATGCAAATTGCTAATTTGTTAAAGATAGTTCAATTTAAGAGACATTCATTCAAATGAGATTTGTTTTCCGGGTGGTAAATTGGATAATGAGGAGAGTGATTTTGAAGCAGTAATAAGAGAAGTTATGGAAGAAGTGGATATAGATTTGAGAAGACACTAAACATTTTACATAGGTCGTCTTCCAAATAATATAGAGATTAAGGATGCTCCAAAAGAGTTGAAAGTTTGTGCTCATGTATTTATGGTATCTGGAGAGTAACCTAAGATAACTCTTAATTAATAAGAATTATAAGATTTCAAATGGATGCCGATATCTTATTTTTATGATTTGAGTGATAAGATCAGAGTGGGAAAGTGTACTTAATCGTTTACATTTTTTATGGTGAAATCTTTTTTTAGGAGATTTCCAAAGATGATAGAGGAGATAGTGAGGAATTTTGATCATGGTTTATTTGGGTAGATAGATGTAGGAATGAAAAATCATTTATTTGGATTTAGTTTAATGATATTATCACAAATGTGTAATTTAGTATTGAATGAGTAAAAAGAAGGTAGAGAATATTTTGGAGACATAAGATTGATGAGTTCGATAGTACAATTGATGGAGTTAAATTTTGTTGAGAATACATTGATAGGTATGGAATTGATGAATGGTAGGAAAACTGTGTAATTGGTATTTTTCTAAGACTTATAAAACTTATAGAATAGAGAAGAGAGTAGAAGTGAGAAGACATTTAGGGAAATTATGAAATATATTGATTTATATTGGTTTGATTAAATAAACAAATAAAAAGATTTAAATATAATGTTCAATCGATTAATCAGGTTAGCAACATTGCAACATAAGGTTATAAAATGTTTTGATCTTCATGAATATCAAAGTAAAGATTTGATGAGAAGATTCAATGTATTAGTATAGAAAGGAGAAATTGCATTAAATGCTGAAGATGCAGCTAAAGTTGCTAGAACATTAGATCCAAGTGGTGGATTGATTCTTAAATCTTAAGTACATGCAGGAGGAAGAGGAAAAGGTATATAGGATAGATATTATTAATCTAGGAACTTTATCAAGTGGATTAAAAGGAGGAGTAAAAATATGTAAGACTCCAGAAGAAGTATCTAATTATACAAAATAAATGATTGGATATAAATTGGTTACACATTAAACACCAAAAGAAGTATTTATTTTAATTAGTTAGGGTTTATAAGTGAATGCAGTATTAGTGCATGAAGGTGTTGATATTGTGCGTCAATTATATTTAGCATTTATTTTAGATAGAAATTCTTAAAAACCAGCTATTGTTGCATCAATCAATGGTGGTATGGAAATAGAAGAAGTTGCTAAAACAGATCCAAATAGTATTATTGTATTACCAATTGATGTTAATATTGGATTAACTGATGATATTGCTGATTAAGTTGTTGATACTCTCTAATTATAATCAGTAAGATAATAAGCAATTGAATAATTGAGAAATCTATACAAAATGTTTATTACTCTTGATGCTACTTAAGTTGAAATTAATCCGTGGGCAACAGATCCTAAAAATAAATTATTTTGTATTGATGCTAAAATTAATGTTGATGATAATGCTAAATTCAGATAAAAAGAATTAGTAGAACTTAGAAAAACATCTGTAGCCTCTGAACAAATAGATCCTCATGAAGAATTGGCATTAGCAGCAGGATTAAATTATGTTGCTTTAGATGGAAATATTGGTTGTATGGTTAATGGAGCAGGTTTAGCTATGGCTACTATGGATATTATTAAATTATATGGAGGTGATCCAGCTAATTTCTTAGATGTTGGAGGTGGTGCAAATGTTGAATAAGTCAAAACTGCATTCGAAATTCTTAATTCCCATCCTAAAGTTGAAACTATACTCATCAATATATTTGGAGGTATCATGAAATGCAACATCATTGCTGAAGGCATTATCAAAGCTGCCTAATTAGTTGATCTTAAAACTCCTTTGGTTGTTAGATTAACTGGAACCAACTCTCAATAAGGTAATTACTATCTTCTACTTCTCTATAGGGGCTTAAATGTTAGATCAATTTGCCAAATCATAAACTAAAGTATAAATCACAACTGCTACCGATTTGGATGATGCTGCTCAAAAATCTGTTTAAATTGCCAAAATTTCTAAAAAACTATGATTTATTAATCAATCATTATTTTTTATTCTTTGAACAATTAATAATTATAATGATTATTAGCCAAAACCTTATTAATAAATATTCCTATTTCAAATAATTAGATAAATTATACTAGATTTAAGATATTAAGTGGGATTTTACTATTGAATCAAGAAAGCTTCACATTATTTTTATGACTCTATCTTATCATTAAGCTCATCCCCATGATATTATCTCAAGGATTTAAGATGTTCAATAATTTCCCTATTAATTATTATTGCTACTTCATATTGATATTAAAGATGAATTCAATTATCTTATAGATCTATAAATGACTTTAATACCTCAAAAATGTAAATTAATCATCTTATGGACTCAAAATGAAGTTATAGATTTTTTTAAAAGAACAGCTGAATTAAAATGAATTTATACGCATATATAATATAATCATTAATTATCTCTTAATCTGTTGCTTACTTCTATCGTTTGGTTCCCATACTAAAGGAACTATTTGTACTACTCTATCTCCTTTGTTGAAACAATCATAATTATTTATTACTTCTCCTAATTTTTATTCTAATTTATATTGTTCTATTTAATAAATCGATATCCTCATCAATATAAACAGGCTAATATAATAAATATCAAAATACAAACAAAAATAAAACTTACTTCGTATATTTGATACCTATTTACCAAAAAAAAATAAATAGAATCAACATGATTGTCTCATTCAAGTACACATACTAATGCTTTTTTTATTTCTTAGATGTTGTTGCTGTATAAAAGATCATCTACATTATAAATATAAAGTATGTAATTTATTTATAACTAATAATTAAATAAATTATGAACTTAATTTATATATAATATATAATCCTATTTACTTAAATCAAAATAAAACATAGACTATTTTAATCTATAGCTACAATATGTTTAATCCTGATATCTATTTTGGGTTGAAATTAAAAAAAATAATTTTAAATACATACTTTTGTAAAGTAATTATTATAAAATAAACTAAGATATTTTGAGTTTCTTACAATTCGGTAATTTGTACTCTACCATTTGATATCTCTATGAATATATTCTTTTGATTTGACATTCATTTTGATATAAGTAAAAATTCTCAAAATATCTAAAGGAATTCTTTTAATTATAAATCCAATTTTAAAGAAAGATTATAATTTTTTTATAAAAATATTTAAATTTTTATAAACTTAAATATATAATAATAATTAATTACAATTGTACATTTTAAATCCTATAATACGAAATATCATAAGTGCTAATATATCTCATATGATTTGGAATTTNATTATTAGCCAAAACCTTATTAATAAATATTCCTATTTCAAATAATTAGATAAATTATACTAGATTTAAGATATTAAGTGGGATTTTACTATTGAATCAAGAAAGCTTCACATTATTTTTATGACTCTATCTTATCATTAAGCTCATCCCCATGATATTATCTCAAGGATTTAAGATGTTCAATAATTTCCCTATTAATTATTATTGCTACTTCATATTGATATTAAAGATGAATTCAATTATCTTATAGATCTATAAATGACTTTAATACCTCAAAAATGTAAATTAATCATCTTATGGACTCAAAATGAAGTTATAGATTTTTTTAAAAGAACAGCTGAATTAAAATGAATTTATACGCATATATAATATAATCATTAATTATCTCTTAATCTGTTGCTTACTTCTATCGTTTGGTTCCCATACTAAAGGAACTATTTGTACTACTCTATCTCCTTTGTTGAAACAATCATAATTATTTATTACTTCTCCTAATTTTTATTCTAATTTATATTGTTCTATTTAATAAATCGATATCCTCATCAATATAAACAGGCTAATATAATAAATATCAAAATACAAACAAAAATAAAACTTACTTCGTATATTTGATACCTATTTACCAAAAAAAAATAAATAGAATCAACATGATTGTCTCATTCAAGTACACATACTAATGCTTTTTTTATTTCTTAGATGTTGTTGCTGTATAAAAGATCATCTACATTATAAATATAAAGTATGTAATTTATTTATAACTAATAATTAAATAAATTATGAACTTAATTTATATATAATATATAATCCTATTTACTTAAATCAAAATAAAACATAGACTATTTTAATCTATAGCTACAATATGTTTAATCCTGATATCTATTTTGGGTTGAAATTAAAAAAAATAATTTTAAATACATACTTTTGTAAAGTAATTATTATAAAATAAACTAAGATATTTTGAGTTTCTTACAATTCGGTAATTTGTACTCTACCATTTGATATCTCTATGAATATATTCTTTTGATTTGACATTCATTTTGATATAAGTAAAAATTCTCAAAATATCTAAAGGAATTCTTTTAATTATAAATCCAATTTTAAAGAAAGATTATAATTTTTTTATAAAAATATTTAAATTTTTATAAACTTAAATATATAATAATAATTAATTACAATTGTACATTTTAAATCCTATAATACGAAATATCATAAGTGCTAATATATCTCATATGATTTGGAATTTATATAATAATAAAATTTTGGTATATTAAAATGAGTAAAATTGTAAGGCAACGTGTTAGCATGCATGACGAATCGACTACAATGTCTTTTTAATCGAAAAATGTAAATAAAAAGAGTAACAATATATCAATAATGAATAGAAAATACACATCGTAAGCGCTAACCTATAAAACAGTTGATTTGTATAGTATCAGTGCCAAAATCTGTAGGAGAATATGTCTATATAAAAGCAGATGTGGAACTAAAGCTAGCTCTCTCTTATATACCAGATCACTGTTTAGGAAGTCTTAAAGAGACCCCTTGTACTTACAATCACAGAGTTACTCGTACTGATTAACTTGATGATGTTTATTTCTACACTCTCGAACTTCTCGATTAAGACAACTATTCCATCGAATAAATTGTCAACCTTCTTTCTCATAAAGATGATCCTTGTGCTTAATTGGCTATCCAACTGGTTAATTAACGATTTAATATACTTAATGAATATACACAACATTACTATATTTCAAATGATGAGTTGTTAGAAGTTGAATAAATTGCTCAAGATTATCCATATTAATGTATAATACAAAAAGTGAACAAAGACAATAGTTCATTATCACAAAGAATAGTCAATGAACAGTTTTACACTCTCATGGGAGTAACTCGTGATATGATGTTCCATCATCTTCATGAAACTAAAACTCTTCCATCCATATTTGATATTGGTGGTTCCTTAAAAATGTGGTGTGATCTCACTATAGGATCCATCTCAAGTGTTTAATATTTTGATTAATATATAAATACTTATGAAGGAGCTCAATACAAATGCAGAATTGAACAAAGATAGATGTTCAAAAGAACTTAAGTTAATCCAAACTAAATTGTTTTTATTGAGTTCTGGATATTTTAATTAGATGAACCATTAAAGTCTTTTCTATTAAATCCATAAAGACTCTACCTAAACTAAATAGACTATTTTAATAAGAAAAATACAGAGGAAGAATATTAACTCTTCTAAAAATCCATGAAATACAAAAAAACACTCCATTATAATAATTCCTAACCTTGTGGTTATAAATTACTCCCCTGGATTTGAATTTTATATATTATCTAACACCATTATTTTATTATTATAAAAATTATTAATCCATTACATCAAACCTAGTTTACACTGAATCAAATTTCTTCACTCAAAAAGGTTGCAGATTTATATCTTATTTCATGTTTGAGTTTCCTTTTCAAACCTGATATTTTATTTTTCTTGATATAAATTATATTGTTTATAGCTTTTATTTTTATATTTATATAGAATTTTATTAAATTAAATATGCTAAAATACAATTAAATAAGTAATAGCGATATCTCTTCAATATATTTTATTAAAATGTACCTAAAATACGACAAAAACTAAACATTTTTTATACCTTTATAAATTGAACTAAAAACATAAACAAAAAAGAAATCATTTATCTATTGATTTGAACCTAATTATTTAATCAAATTTGATTTGATCGAATTAAATGTTTGTGTAAGTTTTTATTATCATTAAAGCTTTTTACTAAAGAATTTTTAAGTTTTCTTAAATTAACAAAAAAAAATTTAATGATTATCATGACTATCATGAATTTATTTGTCTAGCTTTATTTGTTTAGGAAAATCAAAGAATGTTGGCAGAATAGCATTGTCATAAATAAATTGTATTAAATTTTTTATTTTATTAATTGCATCAAAATCCATTAATAATTATTAATATCATTTAAAGTGAAAAATGAAAAAAGAATGCATTTTAAAAAATATATCTCTAAGAATAACGCTTTCTTTAAAGAATTTGACCCCAAAAGAAGTTTCAGTTTCCCTTGCATACAAAGAATCAAGTGAATAAATTTATAAAATATTGAATCAATCCCTGAAAATGAAAAAGGCTGATGAAAACTGGATAACATCATTTTATGCTAAATTTGATTTTCACAAAGATCAAAGTTATAGAATAGATGTAAATCTTGATAATAAACCTTCTATTGGATCAATATAGGTAATAATTTAGTGAATATTTAGTTTTAATTAGGGGAGTTATTATAGAAAGGAACATAAATAAGAGAAAATAATTATTACTCAATAAAAACAGAATTATTATTGATTTAGTAAGGAAATTTAGTATTACAGCATTGGGCAGGAATGAAACTCTTAAATACAGATGGATTGTTTAGTCGTTCAGATCCATTTTTATAATTTTATTAATGGGATGGAGAATAATGGAATTAAATCCATTAAACAGAATTTGTAGAATGTAATTTAAATCCTACATGGATACCATTTTAAATAGATATGGGTTTAATGAATTTTGAAGATGAATTAAAAAATTTTAAGATAGAATGCTGGGATCACTCTAAAAAAAATCCTCCTAAACATAAATTTATAGGAAGTTTAGAAATTTCTTTTTCTGAAATTATGGCATCCTAATCGAAAATATTTAAATTATAAAACCCAAATCATGTATTATATATTTTACTATAATAAAATAGGAATAATGTGGTTCATTAAAATTACTTTCTTTATAAATAAATACTAATAAAAATTTTATAAGTTAACTTTAAAGAACTTAAATATAAACACAAATCTTTTTTGAATTCACTTTAAATTCAATGAACTTGCATTAGATATCTCACAAATAATTAAACTTTTTTTAATAGTTCTTAATTACAATTGGATCATAGTTATTTTAATATAATCAATAACATTCTGGGAGATTATTTGGTTTTGGTGGAAACTATCAGAATTTAAACAAAGACTAGTAAAAAATATAAAATAAATTTTTAGTTTTGAAATATCTAATGGTTCAAATGGAATTCAAGGTATTTGTACTGATTATTGTAAATGCATTAAAGATGTTGCATTCGAAAATAAAATTTAAGTTACACCAGCTTTATTTGAAATAGTCAAATAATCAGAATTATTCAAGCCTAATTTTACTGTTGGTTTATTGTTAATTTTAGACGAAATTGCAGATGAAGAAAAGCTAAACTAATTTGTTAATCATTGTAATAATTCTTTTTTATTATCTTAGAACTTATTTTACCAACAATTATGATATTTATTACACTTAAAGAGAATGCTGTCTAGTTGTCTAAAATTATAAATAGTTAAGTTAACTAAAATAAAATTAGACTTTGTTCTTTAAAAGAAAATGATAGCAAAAGTATGTAAGTATTAAAAGAGGATATATTTCAAATAATAGAACATGAAATGAAATCATTCTATAAGTTGAATTTTTGATGTTATGATTTGATTTTAATTTAAGACATAAGAAAATGAAATTAATTTATTATGAAAAAATTTTATTTTTCAACCTTAATCTTGATCCTCTCTATCTATTTTGATTATAATTACGGATATTTATCTTTTGAAATAAGTAATCAAATTACTATAATACTACAAGATAATTTTGAGTATGGAGATTTTTAGGGAGAAATTGGTATTTATTTTTGCAAATAAAAGAATAACTATTTTATGTATTTTCGATTTTAGGAGACAGGAATGTAATGAATTATATATTAATTTTCCTATGGGTGAAATAAGCTAATAAGCTGTCAACTTTATCATTAATTATGATGTATTCAATTTCTTAATTTTGTGGTGACTTTATAAAAATGTTACTAAAATAACCAAGACCATTTTATATTAATAATAAAGTTAAATTAGATTTTTGTATTTATGGTTATGGAGGTCCTAGTGGACATGCATGCAGAGCATTAGTTTTTTATGTAATTTTATCTAGAATTTTGTAAAATAAACAAAATAATAAATAACTAGATTTTCATTCTATCACTACAGATGAATAAAATTTAGTGATTTTATCTGATTAACAACAATAAAAAAATAGTAATTGGATTAATTCTTCAATTAGAAACACAATTTTAATTTGCGTTGTTTTTTTGACAGGTAGTGCAAGAGTGTTTTTTGGAGTTCATTTTTTGAACTAAGTTTTGTTAGGTTGGATAATTGGTATGTACTTATTGTTTATATATTATTATTGTGGATTGGAAGATAAAATAAATTAGCTTCTAAATTAAGCAATAAAGAAAGAGCCGGTTATTTCTGAATCAATAATTTTGATGATTTATTTATTTTTGACTATTACAGCATCATTTACAATATATTAAAACTGCATAAATTCTTAGATTTTAAATTAATTAAAGGAAAATTGGAAGAGCATAACAGATTTATAATAAAAGTGTGATGAAAATGAAAAGAATTTTAATGAATCATTTGAAAAGCAAGACTTAATTGGAACCTCAATAATTGCTTTTCCTTACTTTATATTTCTATGTATAATAAATAAAAAAGGAAGTTATCAACCTTAACTCTATAAAAATAATTTCTTCACTAAAAAAGGAATAATTAGAATTATGATATTAACTTTAGCTTTGATGTTACTATATTATTGCAGAAAATACACTAAATAGTTTTTAATTAAAAATAATAATAATATTGTAATATAATTTATTTTTATTGGTTTACTCTACTTTTTGGGACTATCATTGTTAATTATATACTTGATACCATCTATTCAAAAATTACTAAAAGTAGAAAATCCTGGTGATTTGATGTGTTACAATCCAAATAATAATATAGAAACATATGAATTAGAATTATGAAAACTAGTTTATTAAATTAATGTAAATATTGATATTGATATATCATTATTAATCTAAATTAGCTTTGGTTGCTATGTCGATAACAGAATCCCATTCAAATGCTGTTAATATACTGACAACTGATTTTTAATTTCCTCTCATTAAAGTTAACCAATCAATAATAACTTATCCTCTAGCTTATCCATCAGAGACAATAGATATATTCTTTTTTAATGAATAAACAATCAAATTTGGAACCAAAGCAACCATAACAGCCAGTTCTAACAAACTAATATTTAATTATTACCATCACAAAGTATATAATTTCCATCATGGCTTACTGCTTTAAATATGCTTTCAACAAATTAAGATTTCTTTGTATTAGCTCCATTCTCAAAAATAACTTTACCATTCTTTTTATCTAATGTGTAAGCTAATACAACATCAAATGGTAATAACAATTTTTATTTAAACTTTGCCATAGCTACTGCTGCTGTTGCTTCTACATCAGTTTATACATTAAATTCAGCTACTGAATTTGCTGCATTTCCTACTCCCATATATGTTCCTCCCATTGCAAATAAACAACCAAGTTTATCTATAATATCTGGATACATTGTTAATGTTAAATAAATATTTGTCATTGGCCCTATGCAAATAATGCATAAATCTTCTCCATATTTATAAATAGAATCTTTTATGAAATCACAAGCATGTTATTTCTCATGAAAATATTCTAATGGTTTGTCCTATAAACCTAATTCACTTAATAATCTTTATTGTTATCCACCTAATCCATCTTCCAAAAAGTAATTATCTCTATAAAATCTTCTTAATGTATCTGTTCTACAACCCTTATATATTTTTGGAGGTTTATCACCAAAATGTCCAATCCTTGTAGTAATATACACCTTTATGTTATATTTAAATTTAATACATTTTTTATTACATTATCAAGGGCTGCATTACCAGCAACTGCTGTTATTCCAATTAATTCTGCATCTGTTCTAATATATTTTAGAATATAAGAGGCAATTAATATTGCATGAGCATCATCTGATCCAGCATCTGTATCTATAATATATTTTGAGTATTTCTTGAATTCAACATGACTATCATCAAAAAGCAATTTAGGAAAAGGATGTGTGAACTTTAATTATTCTTATTATTCTGCCATTTATTTATTATTAAAATATCATATTTTACAACACTAAATATAATTTATATCTAAATTTATTACAAAATTTCTTTTCTGTATTAATATTTCTCTCTATTTTCTTTCATCTCAGAAGTACATTTGTAATTCCAAAAAGAACAAAAATGCTTTTGTTTATTAAATCATTTTGTGATCATTATGACTTATTAATCGAAAAGAACAATAAATAATTTTAATTAATTATTTATTAAAAAGATTTTATTGCAAAACTTATTAAAATCATAAATCATTAGTCTAATTAAGAGTCTTAATAAAAATAACTAGAAATTTTCACCATAAATCAACATTAGTCCATAATAACGCAAACTATTCAATAAATAATTTTTATCAAAGGACTTAGGCTTTTTAACTTGTTTACAAAAATAATTTAAATCGTCGGATTTATTAGAATATTTTATATTTTCTTTAAATAAATACACAAGTAATCATATTTTATCTACATTCTATAATTTCTATAAAAAAAATATTCTATTTTGAAATCAACTTTAGTTTTTATTGTATTAAACTTAAAAACTACTTTGATAATTTAATATTAAATTTTATAGTATATTTACAAATGTAATAAGGAAATAGAATGAATTTGGAAAAAGATTGCATTATCTTATTTGATAGTTAAGAAGAAATTCCTTTTTAAAGAGAAATCTATGAAACAACAACTAATTAATATGTCACTTTTCCTCTATCTGTTGACAAAGTTGACCTTGTAAGACTAATTTCAAAAAATCAAAAATATTTGCTTTAAATAAAAATAAACTAAATGAAAAGAGTAATTGATATAGCAAAAAATAATGAACAAAATTTACAATAAACTCTAAAAATAAATAACATTTAAAAAATTGAAGACTGCTTACCAGATGTAGTGTTTGGTCCTAAATCACTTTTACCAAATAAAGGAGAAGCTGGCTTTTAAAGATTGTGTAATTAAGATTAGATAAATTTAAATACAGAAATTCAAAATCCAGGATCAAATGTCTCAGTATTAATATATAAAGGAGAAAATTTTCAAGATTTGCAAAATTAAATGGAATAGTACAGAAATGATGATATTAAAATTAACCCCATTGTATTAATAAATGGAAAATCAGCTTTTAAGAAATTAATGAGATCAAATATGAATACATTTCTTGATCTATATGAAAGGAAATACGTGCCATTTCACAAAAAATTTTCTACTTCTAATCACCATTGTTTCTACTTTTAGATATAAAATACCACAGGATATTATTTTTTTTTTGTTTTAGCTAGAGAGTTAGATAAGTTGGATTTGATTAAATGGATTTATTAAGGAATTTTAAAATTTATTTAACCAAAATTTGCTGTAATAGCATCTAGTAATGAAAATTTTGAAGAAAACATTAATATTTTATAACTTTTTTCTATTTTGGAAAACTAAGGTGATAAATATTTTGGTATCACCTGTTTAAAAAAATTTTATTATGAAGGAAAATCTTAGTATGATTTTCAAGGGGATTTTGCAGAAATAGCTCTTAAAATAGACTCAATGTTTAAAATTAAACAATTTCACGATCCACTCTCTTGTATCTATAAATGGTCGAAGATTTAAGATGAAATAGAAAATTATATAAATAAATTATAAACAGAATATTATAAAAATGCATGGGCATTAGGATATAATTCAATATTGCCTAAAATTATGTATCAAAATAATCATTTAGAGTTAAAAATAATAACAAAAAGAATTGTAGAATAAAAATTTGAGAAAAATTAGTTTGAAATTCTATTCAATTAATTTTGTGAATACAAATAAAACATTAACTATCAATTGAGAAAGTGCAAGTTTGGGTAATTTAGAAATGTATTCCAATGGTTTATATCAAAAGTTTAAGTTTTTTACAATTATTTTGGAATTTCAATCTGTAAATTAATAAAATTATCTTAGGTTTTTTTTTCTCTTTTTAATGCCCTTATTCAGTTATCTATAATTTATTAGAGGAATCTGTTGGATATACTGCAATTGCTGTTATCTTACCCCTTTTTTATGCATTGAATGTTTTGTTATTTTTGTTGTTAGTCTAACTGTATCATTTTAATGATAAAATTATTGAAAAAGATAAAAACTAAAAAGTTTTAATATAAGCCTAAAAGAATGAAGATGAATAAAAATTTGTTTTTTAGATATGTTAATCTGATAAAGTTGATGTCTTATTGTCTCAAGAATAAACAGATTAAGACTTAATTATTTGTGAAGTCTAAGAAGATGATTATGTTAAAGATTCCAGATGCAAGATAAAAAAAGAATAATTTTAACAACAAGAATTTTTTTTGCTTTATAGTTTTCCTTTATTAAAATACATAAGTCACATTATTATCTATTTAATTCAAACTTAATGCTATTTAGATTTAGGAGTAGTAATTTCAATATTATCTAATTTAATAATCATACATGGTTGGATTAAATTCAATAATTAAAAAGCATCTTAAGAACTAATTTTATTAATAATGGCAATATTTGTGATACTTTTCCATTTGATTAACAAAAAAATTCGAATTTATAAGATGGTTCGTTACTTTTCTATGATAACATATTTTTGGCAGTTTCTTTAACTACCCAAAAAGATAACTTCTGCCACTTAGAGAAGTGAATAGAAAAGGAAACTTGGATCATAATTATTTTTGAATTTTATACTATTTTATTCTTTTATAGCTATTGAGTCTTACTACAATTATTCCGGCTACATTCTATTAGGAGTTTTTGGGTATTTGTCTATTATTTATTTTATTATTGACTTTTATTTATTGATACAAACTTTTTTTTATAATTAATCCCTTCCAAAACTTCCATAATAAGGTAGATAATATATTTGGTAAGTGATGGAGGAACCTGAGTATAAACTTGAACTCTAAAATAATTAAGATTCAAATGATGATTTTGTAAATAATTTTAGAAAGTTAGTGGCAGAAACTAATGAAGGAAAATAAAATTAATAATAATTGTAAGTAACTTAATATATAAACACCCAAACCTAATAAAATTTAAAAAACTCAGTAGTGTTTAATAAAAAGATTCAAAATCTTATAGAAAATAATAATTTGAATGAGTAAGATATAAATAAAATTACTAATATTATTGAGGAATAAATAAATTAATAAATTAATATTAAGAAAAAGGAAGAAGAATTTCAAAAAAATGAATAGAATAAATAAAAATAGAAAATATAATCATAAATATAAAGTGAAATAAAAATTACTAGTTCTTTTGTTAAGTAAGGGTCGTTTTTATAAAGTAAATAACAACTTAATTCTAATATAATCGAAAATGAATGATTTTTATAGTAAAGTCTGAGCATTTAAATATAAATTTTAATTCTTAAATTTAAATAATAATTGAAAATTATTTTTATCTATAATTTTGATTACTTAATAATGGAATGTAAATGAAATTTTGTCATTTTTTAGATGATTTTGTGGTTGATTTGACTGATTTGGCAACTGGATTAGATTTTTATGATTATGCATCTTTAGGTGCTGATTGTTATTATTAAGATAATTAAGGGATGTCATTTTATTTTTTAATACTTTAAACAGTAGGTAACTCTTATTAGGCTTTAGAATTGATGACAGATTCAGGCATTTTCCATATAAAAATAGCACCTTCTGCACCAACAGAAATAATAGTTTTTTAGTCTGGACTTATAGTAATCTTAATTTAGAAATAGATTAAATACTCTAGTGATAGTACCTGAATGTCCTTAACCTTTGAAATAACAGATTCCTTCATCATAACCCCATAGTTTAACTTCTTTGTCTTCTCCTCCAGATACAAAATGTTCTCCTTCCTTTGTAATAGCTAATGCATTAACTTCTCCTTCTTCAGAACCATCTAACATTCTGATAGCTTACCCATCAAATGTTTCCCAATAAGTAACCTATAAATAAATAAATAAATAAAATACTTTTCTATCGCTACCAGTAGTTAATAATTAACTTTCTTCAGGATGATATAGAACCATTTTGAATAAGGTACTTTCAAATAAACACATAACTCTAGTAAATGATTTAAGATCCCATATAATACAAGAACCATCAGCACTAGCACTAACAGCTTATTCATTATTTCTTCTGACTTAAATAGACCATACTCTTCCTCTATGTTCTTTCATAGAAGATTTCATAACTTAAGTTTATTTTCCAATTTCCCAAACTCTAACTTCTCCTTCTGATCCTCCTGATATAATTCTTAAACAATCAGAAGTACAAGTTAAAGATGTACAACCATGTATATGTGCATCATTAATTACATAAAGTAATCTACCTGATTATGGTAAAAATGATCTAATTTTTCCATCACTCCATNACAATAGAATAGTAAAGTTGGGTTACCTTAATTTGGTCTATTCAAATAAGATTCTTTTTTATAAAGCTAAAAAATTGGGGGTTCTTAAATAGGTTAAGATAAAAAATGATATTTTATATAAAAATTTAATAAAAAAAATTTTTAATAATTAAATTTAATGAATAATAGAAAAATTTATTAATTTTGATAACTTATTACTGAAATTTAAATGAATCATTTTTTAGATGATTTGGTGTTTGATTTGACTGATTTAGCAACTGGATTAGATTTTTATGATTATGCATCTTTAGGTACTGATTATTATAATTGTTATTATTAAGATAATTAAGGATTATGATTTTAGTTTTTAATACTTTAAACAGTAGGTAACTCTTATTAGGCTTTAGAATTGATAACAGATTCAGGCATTTTCCATATAAAGATGGCTCCTTCTGCTCCAACTGAAATAATAGTTTTTTAATCTGGACTAATAGTAATCTATAAATTAAGAAAGAGAATACATACTCTAGTGATAGTACCTGAATGTCCTTAACCTTTGAAATAACAGATTCCTTCATCATAACCCCATAATTTAACTTCTTTATCTTCTCCTCCAGATACAAAATGTTCTCCTTCCTTTGTAATAGCTAATGCATTAACTTCTCCTTCTTCAGAACCATCTAACATTCTGATAGCTTACCCATCAAATGTTTCCCAATAAGTAACCTATAAATAAATAAATAAATAAAATACTTTTCTATCGCTACCAGTAGTTAATAATTAACTTTCTTCAGGATGATATAGAACCATTTTGAATAAGGTACTTTCAAATAAACACATAACTCTAGTAAATGATTTAAGATCCCATATAATACAAGAACCATCAGCACTAGCACTAACAGCTTATTCATTATTTCTTCTGACTTAAATAGACCATACTCTTCCTCTATGTTCTTTCATAGAAGATTTCATAACTTAAGTTTATTTTCCAATTTCCCAAACTCTAACTTCTCCTTCTGATCCTCCTGATATAATTCTTAAACAATCAGAAGTACAAGTTAAGGATGTACAACCATGTATATGTGCATCATTAATTACATAAAGTAATCTACCTGATTATGGTAAAAATGATCTAATTTTTCCATCACTCCAACCACTTACAATACTTTTACCATCATTCATAAATGAAACTGCCCAACATTCTAGATTAGGAACTTAAATTCTTAATAATTCTTATCTATTTTTAGCATTCCAAACTCTGATATCATTTAATGAACTTGTAGCAAAAACATCTGAATAATTATGAGGAAATGCTACATCATTTATTCTTTCATAATGACATGTGTTTCTTAATTCAGGTATTAATTTTTCAGTATCCAACCAATATATATTACTTTGATTAGTTCCTGCAAAAAAATGAGTTTAATCATTTGTAAATGATATTGATGTAACTCCTCCCAATAATTCACTACTTGCTACTATTTACATTGTTTAATAAGATATCTTTGCTATCATTCCATCTCCAGCACCAACTATTATATCTCCATTCTACAGTAATCCCAAACAATTAACTCCTTATGAAAACAATTTCTTAACTGGTGCTAATCTTTTATAAATTGCCATATCCATTTATATTTCAAATACATCTCCTGTCTTTGTTCCACAATAACAGAACTTATCATTTCTATCAATTGCTACACAATTAAATGTTCTTTTTACATTTCCAAAATTTACATCTACTGATTAAATCTTTATATAATTTACAATCATACCTTTTTATTTAATTTATCTATTGTTAATATTTATACTCCTGTATTTAAAACTGCTATCATCTTTTCATCTGATTAGTTGTAAAATTACACTTAATTTACAGGATCTCTATTAGGTGTTCCATACAAAGCTTTCCCTGCTTTTATATCCCAAACAATCAACATATTTTTATCATCAATTCCTCCTAATGATGCCAAATATAATTCATTATTAGAGAAACTCAATGATTAAATTAACACCTTGTGTAATTTCAATCTATGAATCATGCTTCTTTCTTTGAAATCCCATATTATTATATCTGCTTAAAAACCCATATAAGTTTTCTACCCAGATGCAACATAATCTCCACTTCGAGAAACTGTTATTACAGAGATCTAATTATCATGTCCTCTATTATTATATATCACATATCCATACCTTAAAAATGTTTATTATCTAGTAATTATATGTCTTACTACAATTGTCGAACCTAATGGATATATTATATGCTTTTAGCTAATAGATTATTTAATACCTCATTATCAGGATGCAAAACTAATCCTTGAATTATTCTCCCTTTTAATTTATATAATTAATGTACCTGTAAATCCTATTACTGCCTAAATCTCAAGTTCTGATTACATTATTTTTATCTATTTTCAAATATAATTTTTAATACTTAATATTAAAATAGCTTATTTTTTTTTTCTTATATAAATTTTAGAACTTTTACAACATTAGCTTTCTAATCAGATTTCTTACAATTAAACTTTAAGTCTATTTTCCATCTTAAATTACAAAAACTAATTACACTAATTAACTACCAAGAATTATTTAACTTTTATTTATAATTTTTAGTATTTAATGAATATGAATAATAAAGAAGAAAATAAGAAAATGCAATAAAGTGATGGTGATGAAATTTTTATACACATTTAAAGCAATGCAAATTAATATAATATTTAAAACACCGATGATAAAAGCTAGAAATAAATTATGATACCTAATTAAACTAATTAAGCAATCGTGCCAGAAAAAAGTAATTTAAAACAATTAACTTTTGAATAAATTAAATTGGTTTCATCAACTTAAGTCACTGGAGATGGACATGTTTAATCTGTTAGAGTTTAATGTCCATAATGTAAATAAAAGGTAAAGTAAACCAGTATTTAAGGTTGATACTGTTATAGTGCGCAAAGTTGGATCACAAACTTATGTTGCCTCTTGCATACTTTTGTTATGTTCTTTTGGTTTGGTTTGTGTTTCTTGTCTCCCATGTATAATTGACGACTGCAAGGATGTTTTCCACTCTTGTCCTTAATGCAAAATTCCACTTGGAAAAACTTAATTTCAAATTATGGATTGATAAATCTAATGGTTTACTTTTTATTTGTTAATGTAAAAAACAATTTTAAAACATTTCATAAACTGTTTTTTCAATTTTATTTCTTTATCCTTATGATAATAGATGAATATTAAAAAATATTAATCTCCAAATATATATAAATTATATATGATTTTAATGATTTTTATATGATTTAAAAGTTAAATTTGAGTTAGATATCTTTCTATTCTTAAATTTTATTATAAATATCAACAAATAACTCGGCTCTGGTAATGATAAAAATTAGATTTAGTCACATTTTAAAAAAATTATGGGTTAGACCTTAAGATTTTTTAACTTTAGAATTCACTATGAAATCATTGGTATTTTTAAAAGATAATTGTATTTACAAGCAAAATACCAATGAATCATAAATAATCAAGATTTTTGAGTCTAAATAAATCATATAATTATTATTTTTTTTCTATCTTAAGATCTGATAATCATTTCAACCTTTTTGATCATGTTTTTTTTTTCTTATATTTATAATGTTACAGTTCTGGAAACTCTTGAATATATAAAACAATATTCATTAATAAGACCTAATTATCTACAATTGAAATTCCATTATTTTTAAATAATTTTGTCCATAAAACAAAATTTATATCTCTTTTTTTAACATATAGTCCAATTAATGGAAATGCTAAAAAATTATTAAGATTTCTCTTTAATATGATTTATTTAGGTATGAGGAGATCGATCAATTATAGCTTATAATTCCAAATATAAAATCTTTGAATTTTTTGTTTTATTTCAAGGAAGCTTTCTTATTAGAAAACTTGAATTAGGAACATAATAAAAGTTTTGAAAAGTAAAATAATTATTGAAAGATTCATAATCGGATGATCTTAGTGAAATAGTTTTCATCTTTTCTAATATTTATATTTCATTAAAATAAAATACAAATAATGTTTATTTTCAAATGGTTACTATCCAAGTTTTAATTTTCATAGGTCCAACTTCATCATCTTAATAATATTCAGATTATTTTGTTGTGTGGCTTTCATTCCATTCTAAATAATAAAAATCAATTACTTAATCTTTTATTCTTCCAAATTTTTAAATCTTAATTTCCAGTTAAAGTTGTTTCTAAAAATTTTAATCCTTTCGGGAAATTTAATTTTAAAATTCCTTCTTCCCTCATGTTGTGAACTCTAACTAAATATTGATTTTCTTCAAGCCAAGGCTCTATATAAAGTTTGCCCAAATTTAAATCTGAATTTTTAATCAAAAATCCTTAGAATATATCCAACAGAGAAGAATATGTTATTGAATTCTATGTTGAAAAATATAACAAAGGTTATAAATCTTATTTATATTAGAATTCCCTTATTAGATTTGGTTAATCTTGATGATTATAAAAAATCACCGTATGGGAAATCATTTATTTTTATCCTACTTTAATACCATTATAAATTTCTTATTCATCCAAAACCTCAGATAATCCTTTATTATCATCCCTTACTAATCTTCTTTATAACATTAACTCAATAACTCCTTCACTTAGACTACTTCCTCCTTATGCTCTATCATTTAAAATAGCACAAGATTATTTTCCAAAATTATCAACAATCATGATAACACCATTAACTGGAAAATAATTGCCTGCTATTTTTTCTTTCATTTTTACATTCCATGAATCCCTATGATTAATTATACGTTTTTATAATTTTAATCCATTACTATCTGTATAAAACACTCCATTATTTTAGATGTCAGAGTAAATTTAAAATACTATTTCTTTACCATTTAAATCAGAAATATCAACAGAATCTAAAAAAGTATCAATAGAAAAGATATTTTAATCTTTAAATTTTGTAATCCATACCTTTAAAGTAGTTTTTTCGATATAAATCTATTAAATCATTTTACCAGTAAATTAAATGGCTGATAGATAATCACCATAATCTTAGGCATTTCCGTTTGGTTTAAATATGTATGCTCCACTGCTTAAACTAGATGAATTTGATAAATAAGCTTTGTAGAGCAAATAAAATTTATCAAATATTTTAGTATCCTTATTAATTTCTATAAATTTAGGTTCTAATCTTACAATATTGGTGTCATTATTAGAACAAACAGTTATATGTATTTTATGTAAAAGTTTTGAATTATCTATCTTTCTAAGTAAATAGAGAATACATTGATTATTTATACAAATAATCTCTCCCTCAATTAGATTACCAATTTCATCTTTTACTGTTATACTGATATTTGTTGGAATCGATATTTTTAAATATTCATTACCCTCATTATTGATTTTTGTATCAATTATAGTAACAATTACACTTTAGTTTTAGCTCAGAGGCTTAACTAAAGAATCACAAGAGTCTGATTCATTAAAATGACATAGTAAATGAAATGTTGAGGATGTATTTGATAAATAATTTAAAATTGAATAAATTTGATTATTCATCTTAAGATGAGCTTTTTTAATTTGATTAATGTAATCATCAATTACATATTATTTTGCAGTACCAGTAATTGCATCATGATGTTAGGCTGTACCTAAAGCCTCGGCTAATTCTGAGATTGAAGATTCATCACAAATGTTTTTACAAATATTATTCATTTTTATTATTGAATAAAATCTTTTTACTTGTTAAAAATATCGACCCATTTTTTTGACATACCTTTTAAAATATGGTCTACTTGAATAGAAACCAGACCAATATTCATGAGGATGATCTGAATAAGGAAAAAAATCTTCTTCTTAATTAGGGTATGTAATATTTTGTTAATTTAAGATTTGTATATATTATTATGGAGTTGCATATTAAATAGACATTTTAAATTTTTCAGTGTTATTATTAACAAAATAAATTATACGATCCATTTGTTAAAAATAACTAGAAGCATTTGACCATTCAAAATCCATGCCAAGAGTATGAGCTAATATTTTACCCCTATAGTATTTGCTCTATTATTTAAAATATTAATCAAATCCTTCAGATTTTAATTCTAAGTTTTCATTAGAAACATATTATCTATTCGGATTTGAAATATCAAAATCAAATCCTTTAGGAGAGGAATAAAAACCATAATAATTGATATGTGTAAAAATTGAATTTTCTTAATCTGAATGAATAATAAATTCTAATGCTTTTTATTTATCTCTTTCTTATCGATTTTATTAATCAATACGTCCTAAAAACCAAGCATTAAAACCCATCATACTTGAAAAAAGTGCTTAAGTATGAGAATGTCCAAATGTATCTATTTACCAACCAACAGAAGGTGTATAATTAAAATTTTACAGTAAAAATTTATGTCCTAAAGTCATTTAATCAATTATATCTTCATAGTATGCTGTAGCTTCATCATTCATGCACCATCCTCCACTTAAAAATTCTATTTATTGATTATTTATTAATTATTTTATGATATCTTTCATAGTATTATTCTATTCATTCCACCACCTATTAAATATTCTATATATTTTACTTTTTAAAATATACAACCTCTACTTAAGAAAAATGTTTTTATCTATCCTTAATTAGTTCTTCAATATATGAATTAATTATTTATTTGACTCCATGATAATCATTATAATATTCATTCATTGTTTTTAACCATCCAACATCATTATGAGAATGTGGAAATAGATAAACTTCAAGTAGATCAGATCCAATCTAGCTCACTTAGCCTAGATAATAGCCCTAAGTTTTTAATAATAAAATTAAAACTAAGAACATAATAAAATTATTTCTTAAATTGATTATAATTTTATTATTCACTATTAATCAAACATTTTAGCTAAATTTGACACCTAAAAAAATGATAAATTTAATAATACATCATCTTTTTCTATCTATTTAATATTTATTTTATTCAAATTCTAATCGAATGATTTCTTCCTTTTTTTAATAATTTATAAGGTAAATTTTGTTTTTCAATTTATTACTATTATTACAACACAAATAATACTAAAAAATAACCAGAGTTAATTTTATATTTAAATATAATTTTTATACAAGTTNTCTATTATTTAAAATATTAATCAAATCCTTCAGATTTTAATTCTAAGTTTTCATTAGAAACATATTATCTATTCGGATTTGAAATATCAAAATCAAATCCTTTAGGAGAGGAATAAAAACCATAATAATTGATATGTGTAAAAATTGAATTTTCTTAATCTGAATGAATAATAAATTCTAATGCTTTTTATTTATCTCTTTCTTATCGATTTTATTAATCAATACGTCCTAAAAACCAAGCATTAAAACCCATCATACTTGAAAAAAGTGCTTAAGTATGAGAATGTCCAAATGTATCTATTTACCAACCAACAGAAGGTGTATAATTAAAATTTTACAGTAAAAATTTATGTCCTAAAGTCATTTAATCAATTATATCTTCATAGTATGCTGTAGCTTCATCATTCATGCACCATCCTCCACTTAAAAATTCTATTTATTGATTATTTATTAATTATTTTATGATATCTTTCATAGTATTATTCTATTCATTCCACCACCTATTAAATATTCTATATATTTTACTTTTTAAAATATACAACCTCTACTTAAGAAAAATGTTTTTATCTATCCTTAATTAGTTCTTCAATATATGAATTAATTATTTATTTGACTCCATGATAATCATTATAATATTCATTCATTGTTTTTAACCATCCAACATCATTATGAGAATGTGGAAATAGATAAACTTCAAGTAGATCAGATCCAATCTAGCTCACTTAGCCTAGATAATAGCCCTAAGTTTTTAATAATAAAATTAAAACTAAGAACATAATAAAATTATTTCTTAAATTGATTATAATTTTATTATTCACTATTAATCAAACATTTTAGCTAAATTTGACACCTAAAAAAATGATAAATTTAATAATACATCATCTTTTTCTATCTATTTAATATTTATTTTATTCAAATTCTAATCGAATGATTTCTTCCTTTTTTTAATAATTTATAAGGTAAATTTTGTTTTTCAATTTATTACTATTATTACAACACAAATAATACTAAAAAATAACCAGAGTTAATTTTATATTTAAATATAATTTTTATACAAGTTATACTCAATTTAAATTTAATAAAAATATTGTATTATCAATCATAAAATGGATTAACCAATATTACAAAACTAATAAAATGAAGAATTAAGAATTGATGTTCCTGAATTTCCAATATCAAGTAAAATTTAAATAAAACTTTAGTTGAATACATGGCATAATAACCTTAGTGTTAAAAATTGATTTAATAACATGAAAGAAGAAATTTTTTGATTTTTTTAATGTTGATTTCCTTTTGTTAAACTGGAATAGAACTTTTAATCATTTTTATTTCTACCAATTCCTATAATGTAAGTGAGTTGAAGTTATCTTTTGCAATACCAATGTTTCTAATTTTATTGATTGCTCAGTTACTAATTTTATCAATAATTAAATCAAAACCAAAAATTAGGAATGTAATAAACAAAATTTTATTAGACATTAATTAAAGAAATTTTGTTAATTCTAATTTATACAACAATAGTAACTTCGTTAGTTTCTATATTTGGAGTAAGATTATTTTAGAATACAATTTTAATTTATGGAATCTTGTAATTTTAGGTTTGTCTATTATCGTCTTATTTTATAATGGGAGTTTAATTTGCTTTTGATTAAGATCCAAATATCAAGTGTAAATCAAAAAAATAATCTTAGAAACTTTAGTCTCATCTATGGTATTCCCTTTAATAATATCAATCATTTTTATTGTTACGCCAAAGTCTATCAATTTTTAAAACTGCTTAAATCATTTCTGTATTGATTTTGAATTTTCGGTTATGATTTTTTTCATTTTTGTATTTATCTTCTATCTCGGATTTGCAACATCACAAGTAATTAGTTTATTTTAAATCCTAAATGGAAAATTTGGATTGTAGCATAATCAATTCATAATTGCTAACTTATTGTTATTTTACAATACATTGTTACCGTTTTTAGAGTGATAATAATGTGTGATTTATATATTAAATTTAAGTATTAATATTTCTATTTTACATGTTGAAAATTATACTCAAAGTTCAAAATTTTATCATCTCTTTTTCATTTATTTATTTACCTAGTTTCTGATTCATATATCTAAATTTATGATATTTTTTCAACAAATTATGAAAATATATACAAATAATAATTTTCTTGTTGAATCGGTACTATTTTGAAGAAAAATTGAAAATAGTGCATTTTACTATTACAGATTCGGATAAACAATTTATCTATCAATAGTATTTTTGAATCAAATAAGATTCAATAAATTTACCAACATTACTTTTTTTTGATAGTTTCACTTATTTTCATTTTATACTCTGAAAAAATGAAAATTTATATGTTTTTTTATAATTTTAAACCTTTACTATCAACTAAGAATATTAAAAAATAAATTTTAATTATTTGAATTACACCGATATTCTGAACAATGAATCAATGAAAAAATATTTATATATAAATTATTTATTAATAATTATTCATGTTATTATTTTTTTGATTTAAAATGAATTCCCAAATCTTCAATATTAATTAAAAAATTTTAATACAATAGGCTTAATCTAATTATGGAATAGAGAGATTATTATAATAGAACTTTTGAATTTTAAATTTTTAGGAATATTAATTATGTGTAAGTTTAATATTTATTAAAAATTACTTCTGCATAAATTCTCAGGTTAAATAAAATATTTATAATGACTCATAGTGAGTTTGTAATTTTATTCTAATCATAAATAAAAAATTTAAAAATAAAACATCAAAAATGATATTTTTGATATGAAAATTCATTGTGAAAAATGATTTTCAACAATTAAACCAAGAAATATTTGCATGAATATTCTTTTTGCGTGAAAGAGCGAATAAAAAGAGCACTAATTTTTGATTTAAAATCAGTTGAATAAAAGAAATTATTCAATCAGAAATTTTTTTGCATCCTCCTGCTATTTAGTCTCAACATTCAAGTAAATATACACATTTTTATCCATAGATTGTGATTCGTAATAAAAAAATAAATAAATTGATACAATTAGGCTCATCAAAATAATATAAACCTGATGTCAATATAATATTAGTAATATATTTTTTTAATAGGTGAAAAATGGGCTTATAAAAAAGAATAAACATCTACAATAAATTATTATCTTTAAACATAGGCAAGTTTAGGAAAAGAAATGGTTAATTAAATTATAATTTTTATTAAAATATATTAAATAAAATGTTCGTTTAAGTTAAAACAAATTTAATTGGTAATTAAAATAGCATTAATAAATTTTATATTAAAAAATAAAAAACAGACAATGATTAAAGATTTAATAAGTTCAAAATCTTTTTTCACATTAGCTATTCTGCTTTCTTTAGCATCTAGCTAATAATTTAATGAAGATTTACTACTCAGTAAAGAATACCCTATGTCTTCAACAAGAATTGACAACATAAATTATTTAGTTTAATTTGAATTTTGGAGCTTTTGTATGACAACATTTACACCTATATCTTACCCTTAAGTTGAATAAAAATTACAATATGATTAAGCAAAATCATAATTACTGTTTTTAATAAAGTCGGAGCAAAAGGTTTTAATGTTTATGTATGCGAATGTTATGACAGAGAATTATGTAATTCATAATTTTATTGTCAATAATTAAAATTATTAGATATATTATGATCCTTAAAATTATGAGGGAGTTTGGATAATGAACCTCGTCACTTTCTATGACTATAAATATTTAATATTTGAGACGATGGATGGTATTAACACTAATTAACTTTGGATTGATTTTAGGTATCCAAAGTCAGTTGAATTTATTGTAGGAGGAACTGGGATTGTAATTTATAATTAAATATTTTAGATTAATAGGATTTATGAGTTAGGAATATTTCGGGGAAGATTATCAAACCTTTGGTATCAGTATAATTACCGTTATCCAAATGATATTTATGGAACTATATAGTGGTTAAGAATGAAAGAATACTAGCAAACATTTAATCTCATTCCAGATGTATTTAATTTTGATGGAAAAATTTAAAAGGAGTTTGAGTTTGAATAGTTTGGGAGAAAATTTAGTTTATTTGGTTGGGTAAAATATTATTCTCATGATGCTTATTCTTTAAAGTAATATTTGATAGTGAGATTGACAACCTTTAAAAATTATTAAGACGAGATTAATCTTGGAGATGAAATTGTTAAAATTATTATGAATATAGATTTATCAAACCAAAATAATTGTGGATATGATGTTATATCTCATCATTATAGAATGCCCTATCCGACATTTATAGAGAATTCAAGGCATGATAAATTAACTATAAGGTAAGATTTACCTTATTAAACTCTATTAACAAAATGGCATTTTATTTCATTTGAATATGGATTAGAATAAAAAGAATCAAAATCGTAATTTAAAGTGAATTTTTTTGAGGATAAAATTTTATAAAGCCATACTTATCCATTAGGAGATTCGCACTATCATAGCTTATTTATTAATACTAAATACTATTTTATATTTGGAGGTGATTATTTTCTTTTTGATAAATTAAAAGGATAGTTAGCAGGCTTTTAATTTGTCTCAAATTATAATGAAAATTTAAACAAAGAATATTGTATTTTAATCATTTATAATTAGCTTGTCACTCAAGTTGTAAAACTTGTTTTGGTCCTTTATAGAATAATTGCTTATCTTGTTATGAAAATCCATAAAACATATATCTGGAAGAATAAAATTAATGTTCATGTCCAATAGATCATATATACAAAGATAATTAATGTGTATTTTATTAAGATTAATTTAAAACAATAATCTACAAAGAATTTATGTAGGATTTTGGAAATTCAGAATGTCCCTTTGGATATTTTAATTTGCCAGATCCTGGAATATGCATAGAATGGTAATAAATAAAATATTGATTTAGTCCTTAATTGAACTCTTATAATGTATTCTGTCTAGATTGTTTTTTGAATTCTCAGACTTGGCACAAATAACCAGTTTGTAAAAAGGATTTAATTACTTAATAAGTCTCTTAAAAAGAAGATGCTTATACTTTATCTATTAGATCTACTAAAGATTATGATTTTTATTACATAGAAAAAAAAGAAACTATTTAAACTTTAGTTTTTTTGGAAGGAGTTTAAGATTATTGTGACATTAAAGATATACTCCTTCAAAATTGTTTTTAATTAGAAGTTAAACATTAAAATCAAGACACATTTGGTTTTTGTAAGCAAAATTATTATTACTCTGATTTAAAGTGTATTGAATTACACAAAGCATGTGTTAAAGTCAATTAAATAAATTAATTATGTGTGGAATGTTTAAGTGGATATTATTTGTCTGAAGATAAAAAATCTTGCATTTAATGTTCAAATTTTTGTTAGATATGTCTTGAACAAGATTATTGTGTCTCTTGTGAATCAGGGTTTGGATTGGTTAATGGTTAATGTTAAAAATGTGGTAATTTTTGTAAAGTTTGCTAATTTTCATTAGTATTTTAAATCTTAAGATGTTTAAGTTGTTTGGATAATTATAAATACTATTTATCCTTAAATGCTGAGCATTGTAGAATTAATTAAATTGAAAATTGTTTAATTGCATTTGAAAAATCTTAAACAACATATTCATTGGACTATGAATTTCAGCCTACTTAAGAATCAGCTACGATTTTATGTGCAAAGTGTAAAGATGGTTATTATTTAAATGAGGAAACATCTAGCTGCCTTTAAGGTGAATTGTAAGACTGCCATTAATTTTACAAACAAACAGTGATATCTTTTTAATTTAAAGTATGCTTGTATGGTCTTTATGATTCAAAAAAAGTTATATTTTCATTTTCTGATGAATGTCCCAAAATCAATTTAAATTGCAGATAATGCGTTATAGAATAATTATCATACTATTATGATGAATTGTAAATGATGCTAAAGAAAGTTTCTTACTCTTGTATTCTTTGTTAAAATGGCTATTATGCTTAAAAATTAACAGGATCTTGTGTGTAATGCCCTCCATAGTTAAATTGCTTAAGTTGTTTTGAATAAAATAAGTATTCTAAAGATGATTGGAAAAATGAAATTCGTGCTTTTTATAAATATTTTATAGTTAGAGATAGAATAGAACATAAATTTATTGAATATGGGATAAGCTAAAATGAATTAGATTATGAAATACTTTGCCATTCATGCTAAGAAGGATATGAATTACATGAAAATTAATGTATTGAAATATGTCCTCCTTCATGTTTGTAATGTAAACTATAGAATAATAAAAACATCTGTGTTAAATGTCCATAAGGAATATAACTTAGAAGTAGAAGTTTAATTGATAATTAATGTATTACTTGTCCAAATTTATGTGAATCATGTTATAAAAGAGAATAAACAGATGTACTTTCTATAAATCCATTATTCAACAATTCAGAATTTTCTAATTATTCTTATTAATGTTTATTTTCAGAAAAAGGCACTTTTGATTAAGAATTGGGTATATTTATAGACTGTAAATCTTAAAAATGCAAAAGATCAATTTATATAAATTTAGACTTAATTTGTGATAGTGATCAATACAATCAACAATTAAACTCATTTGAAAATGAAGAGGAACGAAAATAATATAAACAAAAAACTATTTTAAGCGATCATTTGTTTTCTTCCTCAAGCTTTTCTGAAGTAAAAATTTATATAATTAATTTAGTTTGAAACCAAGGAGTTTTATTAATTAGCTAATGAAAAAACCATTAAATAAATCATTATCATAATTGTTAGTTATAGAATTTAAAAATGCACTGTTATTGATTAATTACAGATTTCTTAAAAATTTAGTTAAAATATTTTTTCTGCTATGTAAAAATTTCATTTTATACTTTAGAGATGTGCAACTTTATTTTTATGGAAATGGAATTACTTCTATATAATTTAAAAAATAATTAACTTTCCTTAATTTCAAAAAAGTTCATGTTTAAGGATTTAATATTGAAATCGAGTTTTTCGAATTTGGTTTAAGTTTACTTATGTTTAAAAGCGCTTTTGATTAAACTATTGAATTAATGGACATTAATTATGAATAATAATAAAAATAGATTACTTTTTATATTATTATGTAAAATGCCATAAATGTCCATATTTCAAACTTTTAGCTCAAATATGTAACAAGACAATATTTTCTTGAATATTTTATTAAAATTGACTAAATATCTAAAAAGTAAACAGTTAAAGTAGAAAACTTGAATATTTATAAAAGTGTATTTTGGAATACAAACTTTTTCTTGTTTTATTTTAAAGAAAATGATTTAGTAGAAATGAAGAATATAACAATAGAAATATCACAATTTAATTTACCATTTATAAGTCAAACACTTGGCTCCTTGTATATAGATTAAATGTATATGATTTAGACAGAGCTTTACTATTCAAAGGGATTCTTTTCTATTTATTAACTAAACTACTTTGAATTAAAAAATTTAGAATTATTTGGTTGTTATTTATTTAATTCAAAATTGTTTAATCTTAATAAGCATGCAAAAATGGAGTATTTAACTTTTACAGAGAATAATCTTGAAGAGGGTTCTTGTTTCTTTATTAATGAGGAAATCGAAATGTACTATATTGAGCTATAGAACACAGTATTTGCATTAAATACTTATAGTGAAAAGGATAGATTTATAAAAACCTCTCAACTTATAAAACCTAATGAAGAACTACATTTAATTAATCTTAAAATAATAGGAAACAAATTGTAATAAAAATCTTTAGAATCTTTTTTTGATATATTAGACATAACTTTAGTCTTTTTATCAGCAAATTTTATTAAAATTGAAAATTTAATCATTTAAAAAAATAATGGGTTTCCAGATATGGTTATAGCCGATTCTAACGAAGTGACATTAAATATTATTAATATTTCATAACATGTTGAATATGGATTTAAAGGAATTTTTGAATAATTTGATTGTTTTAAGTAGGCTATTATTAATGAATACTATTATCTTTCAATTAGCATTTAAAATGTGCCTAAAATAAAAATTACCTAGTTAGTAATATAAAAGGCTTAATCAATAAATTACCCATTAATTGAAATTAAGAATTCTATTGTAAGAACTAAAAAAAAACATATAATTGAATTTTCAGAATTAGAATTTACTTCAAATTTGATTTTAATTACAAATAAAATTAAAAAAGCTTCAATTGTATTGATATAATCTTAAGTAGATTATTAAATAGATATAATTAATTCAAGATTTGAAAAGAATATAATGCATCACTATAATTAACTGGATTTAATCAACACAGGATTACTATTTAATATTGATTGCTCGTATTGTACAATACTTATAAGCAATCTAATTATCCAAAATAATATCGTTACTAACAGTTCTAATAGTATTCTTTATATCTAAACATAAAATTTAATAATTGAAAATTCTATTTTCACATAAAACAACTTATTTGATTATTCAATTTTACAACCCTATTTATATTGGGGTTTTTAAGATAACCAGGAAATATTTGTAGAATAAATATTAAAAATTCTTCCTATTATAGTGTTAACAGGAACTGGAAAGATAATTTGTCAAGAAATAATCATAAGAAATGTTACTATTTCTAATTCAACAGGTTCAGGATTATACATCTATTTAGAAAAGGAAGCCTCAGTAAATATATAAGATACAATAATAAGTAATATTAGCACTTAATTTCATGGTAATGATGAAGATGGAGGGTCTTTTTTATTTGATACTTCTATTGCATCTTCAGTTTATATTTAATTATAAAATGTAATTGCCAAAGATGTATATTGTAAAAATAGAGGAGGATTAATTTATATTCAAAATGGTTAAGGGAAGACTATTATCAAATTATAAGATTTGATTTTAAATGATGTATACTCATTGAGAGGATCAATAATTTAAGTGGAATTTTCGGAATATAAATAATAAGAATAGGAAATAATGGTTAATCATTTAGATTTCCAGAACTCAATCTAAGGATATTTAAAATTTATAGAAAAATTTAGTATTACAAACACTTAATTATTAACATAATTATAATTATAAAGAAGCTTAATTGAAATAGCATGTGCAAATTTTATAAGTTTAAGAAATATAGTCATTATATTATTAAATTATGAATCTTTTATTACAATATCATAGACATAAAAAGTAGAAATTTTTAACACAAAAATCACAAACTCAACTTTTATAAATTCAATGATTACTTTCAATTTAAATAAAAAAGATTCTTAAATAAATATTATCAATTTTTCAATCAAAAATGTAAAGGTTAAAGATTAAATAGATTTACTAGATAAATGTATTTTCAGTTCATCACAACTTATATAATACCAATAAATTTGCTCAACTAATAAATTTTTAGAAGAATCTCCTATTTTTTTATAATATTATAAAATTGAAACCAATTTATCGAACGCATACTGTGTAATAGAATAAATAAATAAACTATAAAAATAACCAATATCAAGCCTTCTAAATATAAATCCTTCTTAAACATAGGTTTAGATTTCATAATTTCATTTAACTAATATAAATTGTAAAATTTGTTAAAAAGGATTGTTAAATATGGAAATTTATGATAATGAAAGCTTAATAATAATCAATTAAATTTTTATTTATGATAATTATTGCGGATAATAAAGTTGCTTAAATATATTTAAATCTGTCTTAAATTCTCGACTTTTATAATCCTTCAATTCATATATCAATTCAAAATAATTTGACTTAAAAATACGAAAATATAATTGTATGAGAAATTTTGCATAGAAAGGTACGTGTCTCTTCATTTAAGATGTTACAACTTTAATTGAAGATTCTATATTTTTAAATAATACAGCTGAAGAATAAGGAGGATCTTTGTATATTAATGGTTAACAGTATTTTTTTATAATGAATTCTTTAATTTAAAATAATAAAGCATCGTAAGGTGGTGGCGTGTTTTTTAAAGATTAAATTAATTAAAATCTAATTAATTAATAAACATTAATTCATGAAAATGTTGCAACTCAATATGGTCAAAATTTTGCTTAAAAACCTTCTTAGTTATCAGTCTCTATTGATTTAAAACATCTTTTATCTAAAATTAAAATTGTAGAGAAGGATAATCTTCTTGTAGAATAAGTATAAGTTGAAAAGTATTCTTTATTTTTTAAGAATTATTCTAACGCCCTTTATGTTCCAAATGGGTAAAGTTTGTATAAATATTAATATTTTGATTTGAAGAATAAAGAATACATCTCATATAATTTTCATCTTAGAGTGATACCTTTAGATAATTTCAATAATGTTTAAGAAAATTTAGATAACACAATTTGCACTATAGGTGCAAGATTACTTAAGTAAAATGAAGAATCAGATTACTTAGAAAATTTTACAAATTTTAATTAAGCTTATTTCAACAAATCTTATTATAATTTTGATGATATTATCTTTTACTTAGATAATTAATTAAATATGACTTTATAAATCTAATTTCATTGTAATTCTATATTTACTCCTATTTATGGAAAATAAGGTGAAATTATGGGATATCACAATAATTACTATTTGAGAATGAATATAAATTCATTGCCTTGTTAATTAGGAGAAATTAAAAGTGTTAATGATAATACTTGTGTTCCTTGTAATGCTACATAAGGTTTGTATTCCTTAATTTTGAATTCAAATAGTTGTTCTTAAAAGGATGATGTAACTACAAGTGATATCAAATCTGCTTAATTAAAATTAAAGCCAGGATTTTGGAGACCCTACTTTGATACAGATGATGTAAGCTAATGTATCAATTTACTGGTTAATTGTAATGGCGGTTGGAATGAAGGGGATACATCATGTTATTTAGGACATATCGGAGCTTTATGTGAAGAATGTGATTTACACAATATTAGAGGTCTTGGACATTTTTCAACAAGTAATAAATATTCTTGTGGTTCCTGTATTGATAAAAGCAAAAATGCAGTTGTCATTGCAGGTATTAGTTTATGGTATGTATTTTAAATATCTTTAGGACTTTAATATCAATATTAATTACAGTTAGGAGTAATAAGTCACTAAATGAACAAATGTTGCTTAAACGAATAATATCAAGATTAATACCTTCTCGAGTTTAATATCACTCTAATTTTGGTATTTTAATTAAAATGATCACTAATCATCTGTAAATAGTTTCTGCTGTTTTTACTTTTAGATTCACTTCATTAATTGGTGTTGGTAATTTAGTTAATGCTGTTAGCAATCCAATACAAACAATGACACATTCTCTTGATTGTTTTTTAAAAGATATATTTCCCTTTGAAATACATTATTCAGTCATATTTTGGTAAATCATCATGCCTTTTATATATATAGTTTTGTTCTTTAGTTTATATAGCATTGATTTATTAATTTTCAAGCGTGAATTTAGTTTAAATATAATAACAACAACTCTCATATATATGTACATCTATGTTTAACCATTTTTGGTTGGAGGATTAATATCTCTAATATCATTTAGACATATTTCAGGCTTTCTTTGGATATCAGCTAATGTCTCTTTTAGATATGATACTAATACACACTATAATTGGCTATTAAACTTTTGCATCCCAGTTCTATTATTTATATCTATATTAATTCCATTATATTTTTTTATGTCTTTGTATTCTAATAAAACTACATTGTCTCAAAAAATTACAAGAAATAAATGGGGATATTTATATAATGAATATAATTTAGATGCATATTATTGGGAGCTAATTAAAATTACTGTTAAATAATTGCTTATAATTTTCCTTTCCTTTTATGATGATAATGTTGTGAAGAAAGGAATTCTTTTATTGTCAGTAGTTTATATTTATTATGAAATAAGTTAAAAATATAAACCTTTTAGATCACACATATTAAACAAGTTGGATGCCTACTCAGCTAATGTATGTGCTATATCCATGGCAGTTGGTATAGGTATTTACATAGATTAATAGAGTTAATCATATGAAATTTAAATACCCTATTTAATAATTCTACTAGCATTTAATTTGCAATATTTGGTTAAAATCTTCAAAGAGATTGTAGCATCTTTCATTGAAGAAAATGCATATTTTTTTGATAAAATAAAAGAAATAATACTTAATCACTTACCTTGGATACAAAGATATTAAATATTTAAAAAAATACTCTAAAATAGAAATGTTCAAAAATAAAGAATCTAAATTAGATATTTGAAAATAAAAAAATATCTAATAGCTAAGGCTCAATACATAATTAAATGTAAAAATAATTATGGAGTTAAAATATCAAATTCAACAAACTTTAAGTCTTTAGATTGATCAATTTTAAAATATTGAAGGTATATGTATAAATATTAAATTAACTATTTTGTTACATTACTTATTAATTTTATAAAAATTGTCAAATAAGAGATAAATTTTCCCCTATGAG